ATCTTCGTTGATCAGGTAAGTCAAAACCCTAATCTCATCTTTTGATTTGTCTTCGAAGTACTCGTTTTTATGTCCGATTAGGTTTTTCTCTTTTTGACTTCGATCTATAAAATGAATCGATTTCTATTTTCAATTGTATCTTTTCTATGAGTTCAAATTGCTTGTTTAATATTATGAATCTTCTTGGAAATTTGTGGAATTATTGACTATGATAAAGGATAGGGAGTCTGATTTTGCTTTAACATTGTACTATTGGCAAAGAAAACTGAGTACTAGTAGTATTTACGGCTCGTTTGGATTGAGAGGTTTGATGAGAAAAGGGGAAAAAAAATTGAGAGAAAGAGATCTTTTATTACTTGTTTGGATGATTAAAGAGATAGAAATGATGAGAAATGAAAAAAAATTGTGAGAAAGAGAACTCCTTTTTTTGCACCAAAAGCCTGATTTGGTAAGGAACAAAAATTGCTCACGAAATTACCCATTTGAATACAAAGCAAATAATAAATAAATAAAAAGACTCGTTTTTTGTTTTTTTGTTCATTCAAACAAAATGATGTGAAAACATAATTATTTCTTATCTTTACTATAATCTTGTCATTTCTTTTCTTAAGGATTTGTTATGACTAATAGAATGGGATTTCAGGGAAAGATAATGACATTAGTAGTTTTTTATTTGTATCAAACGATATAGAAGATTTTAGTCCCATACCCTATTGAGAAATGGAAAATTTGAATTGGTTTCAAAATAATACTGCTACTGGATTAAGTTAGAAGATGAATTGGAAAGTCGTAGAATGGCTAAAAAAGACTGTCAAAAGACTTGAAAATGGTGTGTAAAACTTGAGGCTTCATTTAGTTTGAAATAAAAATTTAAAAAAATAAATAAAAACAAAAATGCTGTGTTGGATTAACTAATTGACTATTAGTCCTTAGTTTCTATAAGGAACTTAACATGGCCCCTAGTTGCATGACAAATGTATTGTCTAAAGAAGGACCTTGAACCCATTTATTACCTTTTAGTTAGCGTTCCGCTTACTAAGGAGTGGGAGAAGCTGTTTGGGCCCTTCCTTCTTCAGTAGCTAAAGAAGTGCTAGAGAGTTATTTTCTATGAAGCACGGGTACTTCAAAAATAGTGCCGTACGAGTACCGAGTACTTATCGGGTGCGGGTACGTGTACCGGTACGGAAAAAGAGGATCCGGTACGTTTGGTTCATTCAGGTATGCCATGGGTACGCCGTTGGTACGTTTCGGGTACACGAGGGCCTTTTTTTTCTTTTTTTTTTTGTGTCCTTGCAGATCAACAATTATTATTTTATTTATTTATATTTTTTTTTTGTGCCCTTGCAAAACAGTAATTTTGATGTTTCTCAGCTGTCCTGTCTGTCTGCATGAATTGTATAAGCATATATCAGCAAATGATTTTAATATTTTTAAAAAGTAATTTGAACAAAAAAAATAACAAGGCCCATAAAGGGTAGTTCTGTGTATAACTATGTATTATGCTTTTACTTCAGATCCTCCTATAATTTCTTTATAAAATCTTTAATCATAACAAACTTTTAAAGTTTATGCACAAAACATTAAAAATTGATACCGTATTAGTTGATTAGTAGTAGTTGGGAATGATGCAATTTTATGTATTATGCAAATTGCAATTGACAACATGCCCCAATTGAGAATTTTTTTTCCTTTACTGTTGGCAATTAACTTTAAATCTTTCTTTGGTCTCCTGTTATTTCTTTGGTCTCACTCTATAAAAATAGCAAATTGATGAGCAAAAAGAACTGTCCTTGCCATCTTAATGTTGCTTATACACATCTATAAAGACATGGCTACAGCCTATGAAGCACGGGTACTCCAAAAATAGTGCCGTACGAGTACTGGGTACTTACCAGGTGCAGGTACGCGTACCGGTATGGCAAAAGAAGGTCTGGTACGTTTGGTTTATTCGGGTATGGCATGGGTACGGCATGGGTACGCCACGAGTACGGCGTGGGTACGCCATGGGTACGCCAGGGCCTTTTTTTTTTCCTTTTTTTTTTTGTCCTTGTAGATCAACAATTATTATTTAATTTTTTTTTGTGCCCTTGCAGATCAGTAATTTTGATGTTTCTCAGCTGTCCTGTCTGTCTGTATGAATTGTATAAAGCATATATCAGCAAATGATTTTGATATTTTTAAAAAGTAATTTGAACAAAAAAAAATAACAAGGCCCATAAAGGGTAGTTCTGTGTATAACTATGTATTATGCTTTTACTTCAGATCCTCCTATAATTTCTTTATAAAATCTTTAATCATAACAAACTTTTAAAGTTTATGCACAAAACATTAAAAATTGATACCGTATTAGTTGATTAGTAGTAGTTGGGAATGATGCAATTTTATGTATTATGCAAATTGCAATTGACAACATGCCCCAATTGAGAATTTTTTTTCCTTTACTGTTGGCAATTAACTTTAAATCTTTCTTTGGTCTCCTGTTATTTCTTTGATCTCACCCTACAAAAATAGCAAATTGATGAGCAAAAAGAAAGATTTTAAAAATAAATTATGATCACAAATTCACAGTGCATAGCATGTCAAAGTGAGAAATTTCACAAATATTATTTTTAACGCTTAATGGTTTTAAATTATAGGAAAATGAGTTCTCTTTTTAGTTTTAATATTTAATTTTAATTTGTAGGATGGATCCTTTAACCATAATTATATTTAAAATATATATATATATATATATATCGACGTACTGCAGCCGTACCCGTGTCATACTTTTTTTGAGTTTTGCCGAATCAGCATACCCGCAGTCGTACCCGTACCGTACTCGTACCCGCACCCGTATTTCCTTAGTTCTTTTATTTTTTATTTTTTTTCTCTCTTTAATTTATTTCCCTAACCCCCTTCTGTTTTTGGTGTTTATTGGTTCATGCTCTTAACAATGGTGGACTTTACTTGTTTGGATGGTTTAAGATGATAATATTATATTGTAATTCTTCTGGAGCATGTTCCAAATTAACTAGAAACTTACTATTATTGCAAGCTTTGTCATGTGACTCTTGTCATTGTTAGTTTTTAAGCGTGGCACATTTAAATATTGTTCTTAATGCTAATGGGCACATCATCAATGACTAGACCAGCTAGAGATACTAGTCATACATTGTGCTTGTTTGGCAGAGCTTAATTACAGCTTATTTCAGCTTTCAGCTTAATTTAAGCTATTTTGATGTGTTTAGTTTAGCTTATAGCTTATAGCTTTTTGGAAGTCAGAAATCAGCTTATTCTTTGAGTGGGGCAGGAGATGCTTTAAGAATAAGCTGGAAATTAGCTTAAGCTGAAAGTTATAAGCTATAAGCTGTTGAGGCATAAGCTATAAGCACTTTCCCACAGCTCTACCAAACAGGGCCATTATCTTCCATCTTTATTGTCACGTACCGGCTCATTAGGATGTGAGTTCTATACCAAACACCTTGCAAGCACATTAGTTTGTGAGCGACAGAGCAGGCAGGATAGATCCCTATCGCATCTCCTGGGTTGGCATAATTCACGGGGTATGCAATACCACTTGTGGAGCCGGCTTCTCAGGAGGATGACAAGCGCCCAGTCGGTGACATTATGCTATCCTAATGCTACTTGATTAGGGTTTGTTTTGGTTTCCCGTCACCTGTTGCAATGTTTATCATCTATGACTTGTAGAATTAGATCTTTTATGACCTACGAAGTTCAATTATGCAAAGAAACCTAATTGTCCTCTGGACTTGTAGCAGCTTGGCATGTTACAATAGTTGGATATTCTTATGTATTAAAAGCAATACAATTTAGTCAATGTGTTTTAAAACTGAAAACTCCATATTTGACATGGTTCCTTTGTTAGCCTGTTGTTAGTTGTTGTTGGGTTTTTTTGTTTTTTTTTTGGGGTACTAGTTGGTTTAGTGAGGTGCTTTAATTTTTTTATGTTGATTTAAGCTATAATTGTACTAAAAAATTGTATAGTGTTATTTTTTCACATCATATCAACATTTGCATGTTATTTTTTCATGTAAGTTTGATAAGTAAAGAAGCTTGTGTCAAAAAGTGCCACAATGAGTGCTAGTTTGTTTGGTGGGGTGCTTTAGCTTTCTTATGTTGATTTAATTTATTATTTTATTAAAGAATTGTATATATAGTATTTTAACATCAACATTAGTGTGTCATTTTTCTCAGTAAGTTTGTTTGATAAGTAAAGAAGATTGTAAACTTCCGGGAGGGGGGAAGACCAAATTTGAAGAGGGGGGAACCACTAAAGACAACAACAGCAACAAAAAGAGCCAAATTTCCTATGCTTTTTTTTTTTAATAGTAACTTTTTCTTTGTCTTTAGTGAACTTTTCAAAATTTTTGTCCAATTTTTTTTTATACTTTTTTGGTCTTTGTAGCCTAGAAGCACCTTAAAAAATAAAATTAGACAATTTTTATTAAAAAATCACTAGAAAGATAAAAGAAAAAAAACAACTGAAAATTTGCTAGAAAAGCATTTGCAGTGTATTATGAACTTGATTCCCTTGTTGGATGTTGGATTCATGTGCCTAATTTGCCTGGTTATTTAGTGCCTAGTAATAAGATGAGAAAGATGTTCTTGTTATTTGCAGCTTTACAAACTTGTAAAAAGGGAAGTAAAATGGCTGCACATAAGGTTGCTCACGCGACTTTGACAGGACCAAGTGTGATAAAGGAAACAGCAACAAAAAGAGCCAAATTTCCTATGCTTTTTTTTTTTAATAGTTACTTTTTCTTTGTCTTTAGTGAACTTTTCAAAAATTTTGTCCAACTTTTTTTTTTACTTTTTTGGTCTTTGTAGCCTAGAAGCACCTTAAAAAATAAAATTAGACAATTTTTATTAAAAAATCACTAGAAAGATAGAAGAAAAAAAACAACTGAAAATTTGCTAGAAAAGCATTTGCAGTGTATTATGAACTTGATTCCCTTGTTGGATGTTGGATTCATGTGCCTAATTTGCCTGGTTATTTAGTGCCTAGTAATAAGATGAGAAAGATGTTCTTGTTATTTGCAGCTTTACAAACTTGTAAAAAGGGAAGTAAAATGGCTGCACATAAGGTTGCTCACGCGACTTTGACAGGACCAAGTGTGATAAAGGAACTAGTTATTGGCCTCACACTGGGCTTGGCCGCAGGTGGTTTATGGAAGATGCATCACTGGAATGAGCAGAGGAAAGTGAGGGCATTCTATAACTTGCTAGAGAAAGGTGAGATCAGCGTTGTCGCAGAAGAATAAAGCTTCCACAATTTCTGCAATGAGTGGCTTGATATCCAGTGTTCCTGTCTAGGCTCTTGAATCAAAACGAGCATGCAATGCTTTGATTTTAAAATAAATAAATTTTATGGTACTGAATTTTGTGGACCACATAATTGCTCTAGTGAGCCTAAAAGGTGTATGTGGTTTTGCTTGTTTGTTGCATTTTATGACTGATTGACTTGGGATTTTTATGGATGGCTATTGCTTGTGTTACTTTTGCACGGTTCATTTCTACCTCTTAAACAAGGACAATCATATTGATAACTAGAATGACAAGTTTGGTCAATTAGATATACGGTTTACATTGTTCATTGTTTGCATGTTTTCAATGGTAGGTTTGAGGATGATGAAGATATTGGATATATCAAGTATGTACCTGTGTTAGCAACATATTGGAAACGAATTGAGCTCATCTTCTTGAGCAGGACTACTTGAGCCTTTTCCAACTAACGCCTAGGGAATGTGAAATTGAAACCAAGTTTTCATCCAATAGATTCTTGAGGGTGGTAAAAGTTAGAACATTATTAAAGGGGTTGATGCCAATTCAAGTTACTAAAATACCTTTCTATTGATGCCAATTTAGGTGTAGTATGTAACCTGAGTTTGTGCTTCTAGGGTGGGTCCAAAGCACTCTCTGCTTAGGATTAGTTCTCCATTATCAAAATATATATATAACTATGATTTGTTAGGCCTATTTTGCTTAGTATTTAGTATTTATAGAGCAAATCTTTGAGTCAGCTTTGCCTTTTTTCTTTTTCTTTTTCTTTTGATGGATATGTAGTCTGCTTCACTTTATTCTTCTCTTTGTGACAAATAATTTTCATTCATGAAAGATAAATCCTTCATTTCATGTGATCTTCTGCTAATGCTTTTGATATCAAAAGTATGCTGAACTAAAACAATTAGTATACTCTCTCAAAACTGAAAATTTATAGTGTGCCCTGCTTTTGGGGGTGTTGGTTCATTGCCCCAAGGACACGGAATAACTTCTCAAACCCATGAACCCAAATCCCAGGGAGACAATCCAATCCCAAAAAAAAAGGTTAGTTGCCGCCATAACTTGTCTTCTGTATATATGTAAATACTATTTCTTGTTGAATCTATACATGTGTAACAATGTAATGCTAGCTTGTACGAAAGAAAAGAAATATGTATTACATCCAGGCTTTCAAGTGCAAGAGCATATATATATATAGATATGCTCATTATTTTCTATCCTTTAGTCACCAACATGATATCCTTCTAGTTATTGTATCATTGTACAACTGCATAAAACAATGTACGAGCCCAATACTTGAGAGTTTGACGATAGGGGCTTGCCTACTTGGTTTCAAATAAACAATAATGCTACGTGCTCAGATTCGTGCAAAGAGTTACACACACACACATACACACACACGCGCATATATATTTTGGCATGTAGGATTTCTGTATATATAATGGTGAGCTCGAATTCTCTCAAAGATCTTTAGAAGCCAGAGATGAGAGATTGGTTCCTTTATGAACAAATTGAAGCAGGTATTGCACACCCTTCCCCACGTCATATGCCATTAGCCCTACCCTCCCTCCAACCCAACTCCCCATTTGGCTTCCCACAAGAAAACCCAACCACCTAAGTGACCTAAGTCTTTCCTCTCCAATGATCCCTCCGACATAGGAACCTAAAAAGGTTCCGGTGCCCCTCATGATGCCCTCTACTAGGGTACCGCCAATGTAAATCGTTTCAAACAAGTCCCACCCAAAAGATATAGCAGGCCCTATTATGTGCTTCACTTGTCGAGACGCCTCTTTTGCTGCTGCATTTCCCTTTTCGTTCGCCTGATTTAGGGCTTCTTCAATGGTCTGTCCCTGGGACAAGTACTCGTATAGGGTAGCCTCCATTTTCTTGTTTCTTACCTCTTGAACATGAACAGCTCTTCTGTAGTAACAATAGAGCTTGACACACTCCTTCACTGTGCATGCCATGGTTCCAGTACTCATGTCAAAGCAGTTCAAGAATGTGAACCTTTCTATCATGCCTTTTGAAGACATCTCATCTCCAATTATTTGACGGCATTTCTCAGCTGCCATGAGAGCATCGCAAGGCAAGGTCAAGAACTCAGTATCATAAGGGAGGACAAATATTGAGTGCAATAGTAACATTATCCTCCATGATAGGATAGGTAAATAACTCAAAAAATTAAATAAAATTTAACTATGCAGCGACGGAAGGAAGGGTAGGGACAGTAAGGGAGTCCTTGCTCCTCCAACAATTTGGAAAAACCCTTAGGTCACCCTTTAGAAATTTAACTCCATGTAATGACCTCTTCAAAATTGTGGAAAACCTATTTTGTGCAGCAGTTGATCTCCAAAATTCAATTCCCTATGTATTGGGTCCTCAAAAGGTTCAATATAGTCTCGTGTTAAAAAAACATTGATAAATCACATTTTAAAAATCTTGCAATGAACAAGGAATATAGTTTAGTTGATTGGCATGAAATCATATTAAACAACAAATAGAACTTTTGCTAAAAGTAGTAAAATAGAAAAAATAGATTGGTTCCTTACGGGAATTCCTATAATTTTTTATGGCATGATGAGTAATGTTTTGAATAATTATATGGTCTTAAATATAAGAAATTCAATCCTTCTATGAAGATGGAAACTGTCTTATTCAAAGAAATTAAGCACATGAGGATAAATGTACCTGTGATGTCGAGGGCAATGATGCCAGCCATGAAGAGAAGCTCTAGCCTCATTTTCATGAAATGAAATGACAAAAAATAAACGCAAACCTAGGCTCAGCTTTGATGTGTTTATATATATATATATATATAAATTAGCAGTTGGCACATGCGATGCATGTGCAATTTAAATACGTAAAAATAAAATAAAATATTTATTATATATAGTGTGCTAGTCAAATGGTAAGAGTCTTCTTCATTTGATATAAATGTAAGGTTCAACTCCTCTCATCTATCTATTTTTTATTTTATTTTTTAAATAAAAAAGTGGATACATGGTAGCATAAGAAATTAAGGCTTTAAAAACCATAAGAGTCGTTCACATTATATATAATATAGATAGATATCTAGATAGATAGAAGTAAAAGAAAGCTCGGAAAGAAAAGAATAGGAGGGCAAGCAAGCATATGGATTATGGAATAAAGGAGGAGAGCATGGATGGATACTGAGACGCAAAGCAAGCATCAATGCCATGAAACAATAAGAAACACATACGTGATGTGAAGATCAAAAACAACGTTAATGTAATATTCTCTCACTTCTTAATAGTATAATTTCTTTAAAAATGATATGAGAATGATATTTTAAGGGACATTTACGCATAAGTCTTAATTTATGAACTTATATTCTATTAAGTCCTAACTAAGATTTTTTAGACTTTCAAGTCCTATTAAATTTTTAATAGTTTAAATTGTCCTTCAAATAATGATTGTTCATCATTTATGATTATCTATAAAAGAACATGATGATTTGACATTTATTTTGATTTTGAAAACTTTAAAAATCAACTTTCAAATTGAAAAAACTAAAAAAAAAAAAAAAATTATGTGTAAAATTTTTTTTAAGAAAAACAATAGAAAAAACTTAATTATTTTTTTGTGCAAAATTAAAATTTTTGTGACTAAAGAAGCACGATAATGGAACATTGACGTGCAAAACTGAAAAAAAAAATTAAAAATTAAAAAATTGATAATGTTCACAATTTTAAAATTGGAAAAAACTGTTAATGTTCTCAGTTTTATTAGATAGTTAAATCAAATCAATAATAAGTAGAAAGGTAAAAACGTTTAATCTCATACTCTATAATTTTCATCAGTTAGTGAAATAATTATCTGAAACGTTACTATACAAAATTGATATTCCTTGTTTTAAAAATTAGAAAAAAATGAATAATATTTTCAGTTTTACTAAATAGGATTTATTGATTTAAAAAATCTTAAATAAAACTTAAATTACCATAACATTTATAAATAACATTTTTAGATAATTAATTCTATATTTTAAAATAATAAAATCAAAACTCGCATTTTGATGTGATGCAGAATGGGCCAGGCTTAACCGATCGAACCCTGCTATTATTGTAGAGTCCTGTTACTTCAGAATGACCTCAGATAGAGTTTGCACCAATTTGATACCAAGGTTGAATCAAGAGATAGATTTGGAACCCCTATAACCACGTGACACCTCCATATGAGAGTTCTTAGGGCTCTTTTGGGAACAATGGTAAAAAGTCAATTTTTTGGCTTTTTAGCTTTTTTAGCAAAAAAAGTCAGCTTTTTTACCCAAAACAATCCAACTTTTTGTCAAAAAAGCCACTAAAAAAGCCAAAAAGTCAAAAAGTCAACTTTTTACCAACTTCCCAAAACACCCTTAATAAGATGGTTACGAACATGTTTAAGCGTCACAAATTGAAGTAATTTTAAGGATAAGTTATAAATACATTCTTGAAATTTGTTTAAAATACAGATTATTCTTTGTGGTATAAAAAATTACAAATATCTTCTTATTAGAATTTTTTATTTTACAGAATTAACTAAAAAAATAAAATTCATAATTGTTCTCCTGTACAATAATAAAATTACTTAAATTATTAATTAGAACATATTTTTAATATCATTAAAAATTGTTAATTGACTTAATGATTTATTAATAAAATGAGTAATTTGTTATGAAATTAAAAACCTCAAGGGGTGAAATATAATTTTTAAAACCAGAAGAAACAATTCGTATTTTAATCAAATTTAAAAGTTGTATTTGTAATTCATCCTAATTTTAAAGTATCTAAGACCACTCCTAAGCATTGAAGGCTAAACTTAAGAATCGTATGTTCAATTCCCCTAGTCACTCAATATAGAAACTTTCTCACCAAAGTTTTCTTTCTTTTAAATCACCACACCGGTGACAACTGAAATTGGCATTCTTTATCCATTTCTGACAATGCTGAGACTTGAACTAGCCCGAGGAAATCCAAACGTCAGCAAACTTAAAATTTGATTTCACATACTTAAGACCATCTCTGACGATTCAATAAACATGACATCAAATTTAAAATTTAGTAAAAAATGTATTTTTTGGAGCTTCAACGGTTTTATCAAATTGGTATCAAAATGAGAATTGAACAAAAAAATTATCAAACTAAGAACAGAATACAGGTTTTACCAAATTACTGTGCGTGACTGTTGGAGGAAACCAACCGGTCAACCACCCGATTGACCAACCGGTCGACCGGTTCCCTTTTAAATAGGTAGGTTCAAACCGATCAAAAAAGGTTCAAACAGATTAAAAAAATAAAAATAATTACCTTTACCGGTCGATCACTTCCCTCAATTCTGCTTTGATGCTCACCATTGGAAGAAAAAGTATCAAATTGAGAAAATAATCTATTTTTCACTCAGATTTGGTGAAAAAAGAAGTGAACGGTTGGAGATGCTCTAAGCAATTGTACTTGGAAAAAAAAAATGTTTGGTTTCATTTTCATGTTTTCAACTTATTTGTTATTTCAGTTCAAAAAAATTATATACGTGGGTGTCGATTTTCGACCATACAACCAAAAAAGAGAACTCAGTTGGAAAGTATTGGCAGAATAGATTAAGCCTGAACAACCTGTCACATAAGAATCCCGTGGTGGTTTCGTCCACCCGGGGGCACTCCGATGATCTCCGATGATCAAGTCAATAAAATATCTCTTAAAGATAACCAATAGTGTTTTGCTTAACTCACTAGACAGAACATAAAAAGACCCATAAGGGTACCTGCCTTTTATAGCCAACACAAATCTAGTGCTTAACTCACTAGACAGAACATAAAAAGACCCATAAGGGTACCTCCCTTTTTATAGCCAACACAAACCTAGTCCCAATAGAAGCCTTGTTTCAATGGACTCTGGATTACTGCTAATCTTGAACTCTTAGTAGGATCGAGATAAAAGTCTTATCTTTGTCCAAACTGAATTCTTCTCCCAATCTAGAACTTTAGTCTTCTATCTAAATAGATAGTTTGATATCATCTAGGACTCTAGTCCTCTATCCAAATATCTCGTATTATCGCACCATATCTCGGTATTATGGTCCGCACACATAGCACCTCGGCTAACAACCTCGGTCACGTGAACTATCCAAAAATATATCCCCACAATATATATATATATATATATATTTAAATAAACTCGGAAGATAACTTTTTCAAATCTAGGTTTTATATTTATTTTCTTTAAGCTAACTTTTTAAATAAAATTTTTAGTGGAAACGAAAAATAGCAACATATAAAATTTTAAAAATAACCACAGGTCACACTACTGCAATAGAAAAGAAAAATGTTTGGAACTCTTAAAGTTAGAAATCACAGGACCTTCAACATGATGTAGATTAATCATATGCTTTTATTTTTCTGGTGTTTTTTTTTTTTAAACTTTTTTTCATGAACCAATCACAAGTGTGTGGAAATGATAGGATTGTGTTTTTTTTCACCTCTAGAACATTGTTGAGTAGAAAATTTCAAACAACAGGTATTATTATAAATAAATAATAATATATCTTCAAATTGGGCCTGACGAGGAAGCTTATGATTGGTTCTCAGCTGATAAGAAATGTGTGTTCACAAAGAACTCCACACCATACATACACCAACATATTTGCTTCTCATATTATCATCATACCCTCCTCCCACCCCTACAGCCTATTCCATTTCGAAAACAAAAACACAAATATTTCAAAAAAACAATGGCAACAATTTCTAGCCTTAGCCTATCAACCCCAAGAATCTCACCCAAAGCATCATCAGACTCACCAAAGGCCCACACCATCATTAATAATAAGCTGAACCACCCTTGGAATTGGAACAGATCCAGTCAATTCGGGCCGGGTCGGATGTGTGTCCGACCCGTGGCAGCTGTCCCGGAAGGCCTGTCGGAGAAGGTGGCGGAGAGCATAAAGAGCGCGGAGGAGACATGCTCCGATGACCCGGTGAGCGGAGAGTGCGCGGCGGCGTGGGATGAGGTGGAGGAGCTCAGTGCAGCGGCAAGCCATGCCAGGGACAAGATGAAAGAGTCCGACCCGCTTGAAAATTTCTGTAAGGATAACATGGATACCGAGGAGTGCCGCACTTACGATGATTGATCAATCAACCATGCTCATATGTGTATGTTTGTGTGTTTTCTTTTTTTTGAATTTTAAAAATAAAAAGTTCGACTTTGAGATTTCATGTTGATTTTAGACTTTGTGATATAACGAATAGACTTGCCTTGTTTCATATATTAGCAATTGGGTTCATAGTCCCCCTGTTGCCTTGAGAAAGGCTTTGTTTTCTGGTTCTTAATACAAGTTTGCCGCTTCAAAAAAAACACAAGATTTCAATTCCTAGAAAAGAAGAGAAAAAGTAAAAATTGTAAAAACAGATATTTTCCGGGGGCTTATATGTAGGTTTTAATAAGCGTATTTATTATCTAATTGATTCTATGATAATTAATGATATTTTTTATTATATATTATTAAAAAACTTCACTAATCGTTAATTTTCAGCGACAGTTTGAAAAATTTATCATAAAAAATATCATTAATTGTAAATTTTAGCGATATTTTAAAAAAATGTCATTAATTTTCAAATTTCAACAACAATTTAAAAAATTGGTTACAGAAAAATATCATTAATTATAAATTTTAGTAACAATTTATAAAAACTGTAATAAAAAAAAAGTTATTAATTATTAATTTTTAGCGATATGTGTAAAAAATTGCTACAAAAAATTATTTTAAACCGTAATTTTATTATGATTTATTTTTAATAAAATTTAATAAAAATTAAATCTAACTATTAAAAAATTATGATCTTCAATAGAATTTGATAAAAATTATGACTTATTTTCGATAGTTTATCCATCTTCTTATCTATAACACACATGAAAAGGAGGAAAGCACCTTGAATCGACCCGCCAGATGCAAATGTATAAAGCCCAAGTGCCCTCCATTTTGTGATTTTATTACCCTTTTCACTATTCCGTTAGTTGCTTATTATTTATTAGGAAAATGTTTGAGGGCCACAAAATCAGTGGTTCAAATGGCTTAAAATTGTCAAAACGATGTCGTTTTGTGTCCAAAACGACGTCGTTTTAACAGTTTTGAGCCATTTGAACCACTGATTTTGTGGCCCTCTAACATTACTGTATTTATTATTTACTAATGGATAAAGTTTTTATTTTTTCAAAAGTCAAATATGATAATAATTTTGATATTATTATTAAATTAATTTATTAAATTAAAAAATTAAAAATTAAAAATATTTCATATATGAAATATATTTGTTATACATTAAAAACCTAATAATCACTCATTACATGATTATCATTCAAATTCATAATAAAAATTAATTTGGTAAAATAAATAAATGTCTAAAAAATTTATCAATTTTACATAATTTTATCTTTAGTGGGTAAAAATTATTTTTCAAAATTCAAAAATATTTTTTTCTTTGTCAAATTAGTTTATATTTTATCAAATTAACGACTTTGCTCTTGAAATTGAGCAATTTGGAACAAAATTCAAAATTTAGAATTAAATGTGTCACAATTGCAAAGTCAAAAACCAAAGTGACACGAGTCTCAAACTATAAGGGACTGTTAGTGTAATTCGTCATCTATTTATTTTTAACTGTTTGATTGCTCATCATGACTTTTGAATAATTTGTCTTTACTGGTAGAGGAAGGCTGATGAAACTCACAACGAGGAGTTAATATGGTTTGGTTGGGATCGATTTAGGATGAAATCAAGATTAATTTATTGGCTACAATTCTAAAAAAATTAAAATAAAATTAAGTCATTAAAATTATGAAATTGATCTAAACCAAACTATTTAAATTCGGTCCGGTTTAATTTGAAACCACGGTTTCACATAATCTATTCATAAAAAAAAAAAAATCATTTAACATTTTCAAAAAAATTTAACTTATCATAAATTTTAAAAATAATAATAATATGCCCATTAAACAAACTACTCTCAATATATCAATTTTATTGAGTATTTTATTAATACAAGAGGTATATGTCATTTTTTTAAAAAATTTAAAAATAAAATGTTATATATATTTTGAAAAGACTGACTCAAAACAATAAGACTGACTCAATACCCAAGTCTGAAAATAAAATAAACAGCATTTTCAAAGTGCTAAAAAGTGCATGCCGTCCACCATATCTGGAGTAAAATGAACGCCATCAACAGGTGGTTCATCCCCAATCACATAGTCACATTCTCCCCCCAATTCATCGATCTAGTGCCAATAGACTTTGTAGGACCCGGTACGGCGATGACCTCGTTGTCAATCAAATCTTAAACTTTGTGGCGAAGACGAAAGCAACCGTCAGTGTCATGGTCGATTTGTTGATGGAAGGCATAGTAATTGGCAGCATTATGCTTGGCTGAAAGGGGATTAGGGAGTGGCCGAGGATTAAGGGATTTGAGATGGCCTTGTCCTATGAGGATTTGGAGTGCTTTGGACAAGGTCATGTAAAGGGGATTGAAGGTACGATTTCCAGTCCTGCCAGGGTTGATAGAGGGGTTGGCAGGTGTTGACTAGGTTTGATGATCTCTTCCGAGTGTAGGATTGGAGCTAAAAGGGATGTTTCTGGTTAGACATCCATTTTCATGGCTTATCCCTGGATTCAAAAATATATATACTTACTAGATTAATTTATTTTTCTTGTAAAATAATGTTTTCACAATGTTTATAGAAGAAATGACGCTTAATTATTAATGTACTCAAATTAACTCAATATTTTTATACACATACTTTTATTCCACCAATAAAATTTTAAATTATGTCTTTGGTGACAAGACCCCCAAATGAAACATGTGGGGTGCCAACTAACATGTATAAAAAGTGACAAAACATTAAGTTGAGTCTCAAGCTCCTATTAAAAAAAAATGTCATTTCTACAAATTAATATTACAGCCTACCATTGTGATAGGCCATTTGGTATAGAAATGATGGTGCATAGCTTTGCTATATATCAAGCCACGTAGCCTTGGCATAGAGGTGGTCACTTCAATTTTTCTACAAAATATTTCATATAACAAAATACCTATAAACCAAGAATTTATCCATAAAAAAAATTGATGGACAAATTATAGATTCATAAGTTTGGATTTATAGTTTTTTTGTTCCTATAATATATAATAAATTTTCAAAAATGTTAGAGATCTATAGTTTGGTATAATGATATAATAAGAGTTGGACTTTTTATCATTGGATGTGTAATAAATTAAAAGTTGATACCTATTATATCACATCATTGTTGGTTAGAGTTTGGACGACAATGTTTGTTTTTAATTTCCTCTTTCAAACAGTGTTCACTATCAAAATGATCTTGTTCGAGTGAGTAAAAAATTTTATATTGTGATTAGCTCCATTTCTAATACCCATGAAATTGAAGAAGAGTCTTAGGTGAAGACAATGTTAGTTAACAATTAAACAATAACTTATATGGTTTTTTTGTGTCTAAGATTGCATGTCTTTTATTTGTTTGCTTCGTAGTGTTTTTGTTGTGATTTATATATGGGTTATAGATTTATAGCAATTGAATATGCTTGTATTTGTAAATATATTTATATGAGAAATTATAAGCATGTTCGGTTTATCTCGCAAAATATATTTTTGGAGATAAAAAATTCAACATGTTTGGTTGAAAATTTTAGACAAAAAAATTTCAAAATCATTTTTCTTTCTACTACACATCAATCAATCACTTTTTCTCTCTTCTCTCTCATTCTCAATCATTTTTTCTCTCATGTCCATCTATTCAACTATAAAAAAATATCAAATCATCCAAAATTCCAAAACTCCAAACTTATTTTCAAAATATACAACCAAACAAATTTTCAAATTTTCTAAACTCTCTCCAAAAAATTATTTTTGAAATAATATCTTTTTGAAACTTAGCCACCTATGTTGAGTATACATGTTGGCTCAGCCAACCAAAAGCCATCATGTTTTTCTACTAAAGTTACCATTGTTCCGTACACACATGTCTAAATACTTGGCTTTTAATTGATATATTTTGTAAAAAACAATGGGTGGTTTGGCTTGTTTTCAGGGGGGAAAAATTAAAATTTTGAAATTAATTTGATAAAAATAAATATCAAAAAAAAATATTTAAAAAAAATGAATTTTGACCTCCCAAAAGATAAAATTATACCAAAGTGATAAGTATTTTAAATTTTTATTTATTTCACCAAATTAATTTTTAGTTAAAAAATTGGAACAAGCTTTTAAAAATCAAATCAAACATGGCAAAGTGAATATGCATGTGCTGGATTTATTTGGTTCTAATGTTTTTTTGAGTGGTTAACACAATAAAAAAAATTAGTAATTGCTTTGGTTTATACCCATGCAACCTAATCACTCAAGCAAGCAACCAATGAACAACAATGCTCAAACAAGATTATATATTTTGATGGTTAAACCATCTGCCAAACAAGACATTTTAATATGTGATTTTTTGATTTGCAATCGTTTTTAGAATAAATTACCAGTAAGTCTTATTTTTTGGACTCATTATTCATTAAGTCATATTGATAAATTTATCAGTCTCTCTTATTTGTATGAATAAATTTACAGTGATAAATTTGTCAATAGGACATGTAGGTAAATAAGTCCAGTTAATAGGTCTAATTGGTAAGTGTCCTTCTTTTTTCTTTTCTTTTTTCTATATAGAGATGATACTTAATTTGAATTTAACGCTCTCAAACTCAATTTTTTGTTTCTAATCAAATCTATTTGTAAATTGATATTACAATTTTAAAATGGGAAAATTAGTCTAGGGTCCCTCTCCCACTTTTCGTAATGGAAGAGATCCACAAAATTATTTTTTGATGTCTAAGGTCCTTCAACCCCAAACTCATATATCACAAAGAAATTTAAGAAGTCTCTCTCTTCTCACTCTCTGCTCTCTCTCTCTCTCTCTCTCCTACATCAACCCCAAACCCTAGCTTCTTCCTTCATCCTTGTGAGCTTGCTCACAGCTATCAGACCTTGTTCTTGCTCAAACACGTCTAGACCCACGAACCGTGGTCTTGACGGAGCTGTGAACACAGACCAAATCAACGAGTTACTCTGAAAGCACCGAAACGGAATCGCGGCAATCGACAGGCTGACGAAGAGGACTCTGCTCTCTCTCTCTCTCTCTCTCTCTCTCTCTCTTTCTTACTGGAAACTCTCTTCTATTTCTCTCTCCCTAATCTCTCCCTACAAAGTGTGAGTTTGCTTTTTATGTCCTTGCTGGCTTTGCCTCTGGATGTGTTTTTTCAAACTTCCCCATTTCTCTTCCCTTTATTTCTGACTTCAACATCTCATTTTTCTCTGATATATTTTGCAATTCCGTCTCCTTATCTATCAAATTTGCCCTCAAATGTTCAATGTTGTCTTTTGATTTCTTCAGTTCCTTTTCCAGTTCATATTCTCTCTGGCTTGGTAAGCTCTTCTCAAGCTTCATATGCAGCCCCTCATTCTCCTCCGAGATACCTTGCAATAAATTTCAATTTTCTCTGCAGAGAAATTTCAATTTTCTAACATCTCATTTTTCTCTGATATATTTTGCAATTCCGTCTCTTTATCCATCAAATTTGTCCTCAAATGTTCAATGTTATCTTTTGATTTCTTCAGTTCCTTTTCTAGTTCATATTCTCTGCAGAGAAAATTGAAATGAGATGTTAGAAAATTGAAATTTCTCTGCAGAGAAAATTAAAATTTCTCTGCAGAGGAAAAGGTCTCGGAATTGCTCTTACTTATTTTGCTTTCATGGTGCTGCTACAGATGATGTAGAAAGAAGATGATGATGATAATGAAGGTTGCTTGCTGCTTTTTATGGTTGTGAAGAAAGATTTCAATGTCAAGTGGAATTTGATGAATGAATTCTGAGAAATTTTCAACTATACCAACTTTATTAGATTTGATTTCATTGAATTTCCAAGACCTCTTCCTCTGCAGAGAAATTTCAATTTTCTCTGTAGAGAAATTTCAATTTTCTAATATCTCATTTTTCTCTGATATATTTTGCAATTCCGTCTCCTTATCCATCAAATTTGCCCTCAAATGTTCAATGCTGTCTTTTGATTTCTTCAGTTCCTTTTCCAGTTCATATTCTCTTTGGCTTGGTAAGCTCTTTTCAAGCTTCATATGCAGCCCCTCATTCTCCTCCGAGATACCTTGCAATTTGGTTTCCTTTAAATTTCTCTGATTGTTGAAATTTCTCTGGTAGATCTTTGGTTTGTTCAAATTTCTCTGGTAGGTCTCTAGGTTGTTCAAATTTCTCTGGAAGTTTTGTTATTGTCTCATGCTATCTCCAGTTAATCATTTATCTTGTTGTGCATTTATGTTGATGCTATCAAAGTGCTCTTGCTTATTTTGCTTTCATGGTGCTGCTACAGATGATGTAGAAAGAAGATGATGATGATGATAAAGGTTGCTTGCTACTTTTTATGGTTGTGAAGAAAGATTTCAATGTCAAGTGAAATTTGATGAATGAATTCTGAGAAATTTTCAACTATACCAACTTTATTAGATTTGATTTCATTGAATTTCCAAGACCTCTTCTTCTGTAGAGAAATTTCAATTTTCTCTGGGTTGAACCCAAAGAAATTCTTTGGGAAGTTCATAATTTCTCTGGGTTAGAAGTAATTTTCTTTGGGAGCGTTTTTAGAACCTTCTATCTGTGACACAGTGAAAGCTTTCAACAACATTTGGTGGACGATCAAACCCACGACAAAGAAATTTGAAATTTCTCTGGAGTCCATGAAAGGCTAAGGAAATTTCTCTGGCAGTGTCCATGAAAGGCTAAGGAGGCCAGAGAAATTCAAAATTTCTCTGGACCAATTTTCTCTGACTTGAATTTTCTCTGGACCAATTTTCTCTGCTTTAAATTTTCTCTGAACGAATTTTCTCTGGATTGATGTTGAGGGACCTTAGACATCATGAAAATATTTGATGTCCTTTATACTATAAAATCATAATATCAAGGACCTTAAAAAAATACCCCTTTTAAAATTATCTAAAAACATCTTAATAATACTTTATATTATAATGCATCTTATTTTCAGTCATCGCTTGGGAGTCCAACTAGTTCTCTCAAAAAGGGGAATATGGTGGTCTTGTTAGGTACCAAGATACTGATAAAAAGTCTAATTCGACCTTATTAAAAAATTATTACCATAATTTTAATGATCCTGTCAAACACATGTGAACCAAATGAAAAAAAAAACAAAATCAAACAAAACCGAATGCTCATCATAAGTCATGAACCTTTTAATGTGTTCTTTATACAATAGAACCATCTCAACAACCAATGCACATATAATAATATCACCATCGCGCCCCCAACCACCATCTAAACCCACATATCAAACGCAACCAACAACCTAGACCCACAGTTTCAAACACACCATTAAAAGGTAGGAGACTCGATCTTCTCTCTCTCTCTCTAAAAATTGTATTGTTCTTTTGTCCCGAGTGAATCTTTTGTCCCAAATCAAATCACTCGTGGTAATCTAAAAATTATTGTTCTTTTGTCTAAAATCAAGTCACTTGTGGTAATCTAAAAATTATTATTCTTTTGTATCAAAATATCACATAGCATTTTATTTCAAATCTCCGCACAAGATCTTTAAAACCAAAGCTTTAAAATCACCTCGAATAAATTGTAGACATTTGAGTTGTGTTTGAATTAATAAATCTAAAATAAAAATATTAGTGCTATTTATTCAAATTGAGTACCTCAATTTTAAATTTGGCAATTTATGACTTCGAAATTAGATTTGAGATTTTGTTTCAAATTTCTCATAATTCTACAATAATAATAATTTTGATAAAATATTTCTCTTCTTTCTCTAATTTATCTTTTCTATATAGTTTCTAAATCCACCAATATTATTTCAATAAAAGAAGAAAAAACAAACAAACAAACAAAAGAAGTCCATCTCTATTAACTTAAATCTCGTGTTCCTTTTCCATCTCTAATTTACCTTTTTCTATTAGTTTCACTACTTACCTATATTAACTTAATCTTCAGTTACTAAGAGATTATTTGAGATGACGATTATTTGAGATGACGTAAGTAAATATATATATATATTTTTTTTTACAAAAAAATATACAAAAAAGTAGAGAAGTGATGTGATAAAAAAAAAATAAAAAATAAAAGAATGAATTATTTTTAAATTGCCAAACTTGGCCTAAAAAAAGATTTTAAAAAACACACTAATTTTTTTTTTTCTTTTCTTGATAACTAGGTATTCAAGTCAACTTGAACGCACCTCGACTAATTTCAAAACCTTGAAATTAAACACAGAATAAACCTCATTGACCCCTTAAGTGAACTCGAGACCTTAGGGTTGGTTTGAGAAGTGAGTTGATTTTTTGATTTTTTTGACTACTTTAACCTAGTCTAAAAAATTTGGTTTGAAAAAGATTTTTTTAACTTTTTAAACTTTTTTTGTAAGAGAGAATGTAATAATTATGAGTTAGTTGTGATGTTTTGTTTGTTGTGGTTAAAATAGCCAATTTTCTCTTTTGCGACTAGACCATCTTCCCAAACGGACGTTCTTCCCAAACGGACGTTCTACTTTCTCATCGTTAGCACTCTTAATCTCTTATATTTTTATAAAATTTGATATCAAATTCCTAGATTTGAAATCTATACAAAGAACCACATCCAACTCATAAACAAAGTAAAACCCATGAACACATATGATCAATTAGAAACCACATTGAGTAATTTGAATTACAACCACAAATCAACCATATAGTATAGAACATGGCAAATTGTTTTTGACAATTCAAACAAGCTAAAATATAACATAGAAAGTCTGATCCAAGAACACTACCAATTTCAGACCCCAAAGCCACATCTAATAACAAACTCAAGCTAAACAACAGATAAAGCAGACAAACATTACATAAACATTGAAAACCCCAAAGCCACATCTAATAATAAACTCAAGCTAAACAACAGATAAAGCAGACAAACATACATAAACATTGAAAACCATGAAAACCAAATCCATAGAAAGAGTGGTCTATCAACTCAACCATACTTGGATGATGAGGAGACTAGTATTCATTCAGCATTGAAACATGCTTGCAGAAGTCTGCATTGGACAAGGGAGTTGCCATGGTTCAAGCAAAGCATCTGGGATTTCAGGAATGTCCATTGCAAGCCCGCTAACCTCCTCCACGATCTGAAGCACCGAATTCAACGACCTTAGACGATCAGTCAGCTCTGCGAGTTGAGCTCTCAGAACATTGTTCTCGGATTCAAGCCCAACGTACATGTTTGCAACGGCATTGATCTGATCAGCAATTAGATTGTTCTCGCTTTGCAATTGGGTAATTTGAGTGGTCAGACCATCCACATGCTGTTGCTTCTTCATCCGAGACCTCCTCGCCGAGTCCCTGTTCGATATCATTCTCTTCCTCTTCCTCTCATCGACCACTCCCGCATACCTCGGGTCCCCATCGGATCGTGAACTCGGTTTCGTTGAATCCATCTTTCCTGGCACTCTCCCGGAAAATTACCTACTGGATTCTTTTGAATTGATTGAAATTTTTGATAGGGGTTTTACAATTTAGGTAAAATTTGGGGGTTTACAATCGGTGTGAAGATTTAGGGTTTTGAGAGTTGTTGGGTAAGAAAAAATGAGGATTGTTTGAAGTAACTAATTAATTAGAGGGAAAATTTATGAAAACACGTAGAACCAGTAGAGGAATACAACCGAGAAGGAGTGCAGGATCCGAATCCGACGCATGAGAATTGCGCAGCTCATCAAGAATATGAAATCATTGAAAATTTTAACAGAACAACACCAGCGATCAAGAAATCGAACGGAGATTGAATCGTTTGATGATATTAAACCCTAGATCTGAACCGAAAACCGAGATTTTTTAGATTTATCTGCGATTTCCTGAGAAAACAAACCAAAAATAAGAAATCGAACATCACCATATAATTGATAAATCACAAAACAATAATAAATTAAAAAAAACAATCAAAAGCACAAAAGAAAGAAACAACAAACAAATTATAAGACGACAAAAAAAGAAAAAAGAAACAGGCCTTACAAAGATAGACAGACGACTAATCCAATGCTTGGACGCTTAGACGAAATAAGGTGAGAAAGGCTTTCGAGGGGTATTTATAGCCGAAGGTGGGTAGTTGCCAACCTTTTTCTAATATTTCCTATTTTTTTTTTTTTTTTTATATTGTGATGATAAATGCTAGTGGGGACATTTGTTTAGGCCTCGTTTGGCGAGAGGTTATTTTAGTTAATTAGTCAAAAAGTTATTAAATTACTCAAAAAGTTAACAACTCATACCAAAAAGTCAAAGATTCTATTTTCTCTCTACTTTTTGCACATCTTTTCGTAATTAGCCAAAAAGTCATCCCAAACATACAAGTTTTTTTTATCTACCTTTTTAGTCAAATAGCTAAAATGTTACTAAATTAACCTGTTCCCAAACGAGGCCTTCGTGTACGGATTTTGGAGAAAATTTATTGTGGAAATAAACATAAATATAAAATATGAGTTTTGAAAATTTTAAAATTTTTATCAAAATAATAATGCTACTATGGTTATTTTGAAAATTTAATTAAAAATTAATTTTTGATTTTTAATTTATTTTAAGTTACATCATCTTAATTTTTAATCAAATTCTCAAAACAAATCAATAGAATAGGCATTGGGTTTAATCATATTTTTCAAAGGTGATCCAGACCCCTACTTGGGGGTGACCCCACCACCGTCAGATACACGGGGGCAAGGAGAGGACGATTAAAAAAAAAAAAAAATTTGGACCAATCAAATTTCACCGGTAGTGGATGTCTCACTCTTTTCTCTATATTTATATAGTGTCATTTAGATTCAAAATTATCTCAATATTAATTTAATCTGTTCATTATTTTACGCGTTTGAGTCGTATTATTTTTTACACATATTTAATTTATATCGTGTTAATAAGTAGTAATTGAACACCCAAATAAAATATTGACTTTAAAATCTTATTTTATGTACTTTTTAAATTAAGAAAAATTTACCCATAAGTCTTAATTTCTGAAAAGTTAAACTATTTAGTCTTAAAAATTTTCTTATGCTCCATTTAGTCCCATTTGCACATCAATCTAATGTTTGAAACATTAATCTGATGTTCGAAATCTAATATTCGAAACATTAATCTGATTTTCAAAATCTAATGTTCGAAACATTAATCTGATGTTCGAAACATTGTAATGGGACCTTTCAGTCTATAAGAAAATTTTTAAGATTAAACAGTGTATAAGTTATTAATTTGAGATTTATTAGTGCATCTCCCTTAAATTAATTGAATAATATATAAGAAATTTAAAAATATCATAACGCATTTTAATAAAAATAATGTTAAAATATATAGTTTATTTTTCATTGGATGACTCCTATTGTATTAAATGGTTGTTTGGAAATGATCTAAGTAATTGTATTTATTTTGATCATATTATCTTTTTATTTTTCTATATATCTTTTTATTAAAAATTAAAAAATAAACTAAATAACCAAATCTCAAACAATTCCTAAATTTAAATTTGTATTTGACCTTGTTTGACGTACACTACTTTAGCACATATTTTTATTTTATTTAAATTACATCATTTTTTGTTTAAATTATATCATCTCTTTATCATATTATACTATACCTCTTTTCATAAAAATTTAAAAATATTACTTATTTTAGTTTAGACCATTCTAAACTACGTTTGAATTTTGTATATAATAATATTTTTTTTTTGTTTATTTTAAAAAAAAATTGTTTTTGTTGGCGTGGTGGTGTGATGCTGATGCAGATGATGATGTTTTTTGTGAATACAGCTGGCTGTTTGGCTGGCCAGTGACTTGGCTTGACTTGGCTTCTCTAATGGTAAATTTTATTTTCACGCATTTATTTATCTCTGTGTATATATTTAATAATTTATTTTTTTATTAGGGTTTTATCTTAAAATAAAATTAGTAAAGTATCCTTATCTTCTCTTCCAAAACTCTAATTTCTTAATCTTAACCTTAGCTATCGTCCACCGCTATTGTCGCCATTATTATAGTTTAAAAAATCTGAATTCATTGCAATTTCTTGATCTCAACACTAACCAATAGAACGAGAATTTTCCTATGATTGAATGGTGTATTTGTTTTGTTTTCTGAAAAGCATTATTCTATCGTAATTACTTTGTTTATTGTAATTGCGTTGTTTTGTTAGTACACTCATTTTATTGTTTATATGCTATTGAAGCGCCTGATCGGGCATCACCCCATGACATATGCTTATTATGGTCAATATTGTAGCTTATGGATGCAGAGGCCCTAAGTTGTATTTTCCTGCATCTTGTATTGCACATGATGGAACTTGATTTAGAGAATGGGTGTTGGTTTAGGCCTTCAATATTAAAGAAAATGATATTTTTGACAAAAAAGATTGTGCGTTAAGTAAAATTACAATATTCAAAATTAATTGATTTGTGTATTAAAAGAGGACGTAGTATGTGATACTTTGATGTGTGGAAATTGGATGGCCCTCTCTAACCTTTTTCTTTTATTTTTGTTTTTAAACATAGCGTGTAATGTTGTCTGTATTGTTGTTTTCCAGCTCTTTCTTGTTTTTTGCAAGTTTAGCGTTCTTCCATTGTGGAACGTGAAACGCCGAATCAACAAGGAAGTGCCAGCAAATGCCGGTGTCGCATTGGATATTGTAGGTCATTTGGCAAGTAATTTTTTTTTAAACTACATTTTTTTTTATTAATAAATTAAACGGTAAAAATCAACTTCAATAGTAAGGGTTATATTGTGGGTGTTTAGAAAATTATTATTTTAATAGATTATTTTAGTTTTTGACTATTTGAGGACGTTAAAATTTGTATATTTAGGAAGATAATTGGTTTTTTTTTTTTTAATTTGATGTGATATTTATGAGAAAAAAATAAAATAATTATGAATTTGATATGACATTTTGTTTTATTAACTATTTTAATATATTTTATCTTTTTATGAATTTTAGCAAAAATAAAATAAAATCCAATTTGCCAAACACCCCATTGTACATATCAATCCATCGTTTTTTCACAATTATTTCAACCGAAAAAGAAAAACAAATCCCTGGTTGTGACTTTTCAAAAATAATTTTTAAATTTTTTTTCATCCTTTTTAATATTTTAATAATTTTTAAAAAAAAATTACATAAAAAAAACAGTTATTCTTTATTTTTTTACACATATTTTCATTAAAAAAAAAACCCAAAACAATCATTAATCTAGGAATAATGTTAGACATCCAAAATGTTTTCCTAATATTTTTATCAAATTTCTCACATAGGTGTGGGACTTATCTGAGACATTTGGTAAAAATGTCGGTAAAACATTTGAGGTCCTTAACATTTCTTTTAATCTAGATACACTTAAAACTCGTTTAGAATGTGAGTTAACTTTTTGGTTATTTTAGTATGGAGTTAAAAAAACTTGTTTGGGATATTTTTTTTTGATTTTTTTGACTTTTATAAGAGAAAAAATGAAACGATTATGAGTTGAATGTGACATTTTATCCTATTTTGTATTATATGACTGTTTTAGTCCCAATGAGGCATCCAAACGAGCACTTAAAAAGTAATATAAAAAAAATAAAATAATTTGTGAAATTAAAAAAAAATCAATTTATACAAAAAAAAATAAAAAAAAAATAAAATTATACCAATATTTATATTGTATTTATTGACCTTTTAAATTTTTTAATACAAATTTCATACTTTTTAAATGTATCTACATTAAGAGTTGTCTTGAATTTTTTTTTTTAAGTGATTTTTTGTCCTTTTATAAGAAGATGTGTAAAAAAATAAAAATAAAGAAAATAATTGTTTTTTTTGTAGTGATTTAGCCTCCGTTTGGGAAGTGGGTTGGCTTTTTGGCTTTTTGGCTTTTTTGGCTATTTTAGCCTGGGCTAAAAAGCTTGGTTTGGGAAGGGTTTTTTGGCTTTTTGGCTTTTTGACTTTTTTTTGTGAGAGAAGAGTGTAATGATTATGGGTTGGATGTGATGTTTTGTTTGTTGTGGCTAAAATAGCCTGTTTTGTCTTTTGTGGCTATTTTAGCCCCAACCCACTTGCCAAGCTAAAATTATGACTTCTCAAACTAGACCTACATAGATTTAAACAGTAAAAAATTTAATTAAAAATGGTAACATGTTTACTAAAAACAAATTGCAAATTGAAGATTCAAAAATTCCAAACCAAAAACATTATCATCTCATAAAAATGCTAAAAAATCATTAAAAAAAAAAAATTTCTTAAATGGGATAGGGGTAGTGTTATAGTTAGAGTTAGGATTTGAAAGATTATAAATGATAATAAAATTGAAATTTTATGTGACAATAAATTTGCACCTATAATAAAAAATGAAACAATGAAGTTTGAAAAAGAAATATTAGACTGTATTTGATTGGAGGATTTAGAGAAAAATTTAAAAAGAATAAGGAAAAAGATATATAAAATATGAATAAAATATATTTATATTTTATTTAATTTCATATATTTTTTAATTTTTAAATATTTGTCCAAATTTCTTAACCAAACACAAATTTAGGAGTATTAACGGCACTCTTGAAAAATTAATATTGTTATGTATTTTATACTGAAATATATATTTTAATTTTATTTATTATTATCTCTACAAATCATGGACATCAGTTGAGATCATTTTATGTAAAAGTTGTGGTGGCTTATTATAATTTTAAAACTTAAAGGGCGGTTAGTGTAATTTCCCTATTAAAAAATTTCCAGTCATTACCTTCCTCTGAGTCCTTCATGGAACGTGAATAGATCGCGATTTGGAGAACGGGTTTGAGGATTTGCAGAACAGTTTGAGAAATTGCGAGAGAGAGAGAGAGAGAGAGAGAGAGATGGGGATGGAGGATGATGATATTCCGTTGGACGACAAGGCGAAGAGAATGAGAGATCTGTTATCGAGTTTTTATTCCACGGATCCTCCTCATTCAATGCCCGCCAACACTTCTTCCAAATACGCCACCCTCGACACCATCAACACCACTTCTTTCGATGCCCACCAGTACATGAATCTCCTCGTACGCCCTTCTAACTCTCTGCGTTTTATGTTGATCTTGTGTGAAATGTATTTATTATATAATATGTTATTGTTGTTATCTTAAAATTATAGTCGATCTGCTTGAGTGAGTTTGTTGTGGAATGTCAAAGCAAAATTAGGGTAATTCGGACACAACCAAGACCCATGTCTTTTATGCTTTCTATATGAATTGCTTAAATGGGAAAAGAAATGGAAGAATTTCCACACGGGTTTGTTTTGGCTTTGCATTAGTAGAATGTTTTTATGTCAATTGAGCTGCATTAAAAAAAAAAAAACTACAAAATTATCAACCTTATGGATTGTTTGGTTGACTGGAATGAAGGTGGAATGGAATGGAATTACCGGTCCCTTACAATGGTGAACGATGATTCAGTTTGCGTTGCATTTTTCATCATTTTATTAGTGAGCCAAATGTGATCTCTCTATGGAATGACTGTTTCTTACAATGGTGAATGATGATTAAATTTGTAATTCATTTTTCTATCATTTTCTTAGCGAACCAAATGTGAGAATGGACTTTTTGATAGAATGATAATTTCATTCCAACAAACCAAACACTACCAAATTAGGGGGTGAATTTTCAGAACATTTTGACTTGACAGGAGGCCCATGTTGAGGGCTGTTTTAAATTAATTACCTTGCTATGTGATCTCGCCTCTATCTAACCCCAACTAAATCTGATCTAGATATTGAGTCTTGTACACTTGGGTGTAGGTTATGATAGTTTAATTTTTCATTATACTAGTGTTGCACTACAAATTATGGCTGGAAAGTTCAGAATTTATCCTCATTTTCTTACTGTTTGGACTTAATATTGCTGCCAAATGCTATATCAAACAATTCCTTTATCTCATTTAGGACTATTAATGGATAAGTAGTTTCAGTTTTAGATCAATGCATGATTGCATTCCCAAGTTTCTTTTTGGTTTGTACTGGAAATGGTTCCAGTGACTGAGAAACTCTTCCCAATCTTAATGCAATGCATCAATTGCATTGTGTCAATGGTAGGGCTAGAATGAGATTTCCATTCTCGACATGTACTCTTAATTTTTTTAATGTGGGTTCAATAACTATTACTTACTTATCTCACTAAAATCTGTAGGTACAAAAGTCAAATTTAGAAAGTTTGCTTCAGAGACATGTTGAGATGGCTGCTGAGATTAAAAATCTCGATACTGACTTACAAATGTTAGTTTATGAAAACTACAACAAATTTATTAGTGCCACAGATACAATAAAAAGGTAGATATTTATTTTTTCACATTGTAAATGTACTGTTGCACCACCCTTTATTGTTATTGGCTAGCAATTCGAAAATAATACTTTACCATGTTGAACATGATAAACTTTTACAAATGTTGACCTTGGCATACGGTTGCATTTGAATGTGGATTTCAATCTCAATGTCCAATATTTTTTCTAATTTAATTAAGCATATTCTTTGTATTTCATATGGCAACAGTAATAATTTTTTTAAATCTTTGTTCCTTGTTTTAGATGGAAACAGTTTTTATTTTTTGGTGTAACAAGTCAGATGAAGAACATTTGTTTGATATTATTTATTTTTCCAGGATGAAAAATAATGTTGTGGGCATGGAGTCAAACATGGAACAACTTCTCGAAAAGGTGTTGGAAAACACTTCTTTCCTGTTATTGATTAACTAGTGCAACAGTGCTTTTAACATAAGAAGGTAAGATAAAAGGAAACGGAAGGAAAGGCATTGAAAAAAATCACATCTGCTTCGTCATCTTTGCAGATAATGTCTGTACAATCTCGAAGTGATGGGGTCAACACTTCTCTTTTTGAAAAGAGAGAGCATATAGAGAAATTGCATCGAACACGTAATCTTTTGCGCAAAGTTCAGGTAATGAAGTTGCATCAAAACCTTAGTTACAGTATTACAGATTAGTGCACTTGTTTGAAAAATGACTATATTTGGAAGGAACGCGTGATTCTGCCAATTCAGGGGCTTATGATTTAGATTTTTTAAGGTTAAGTCTTGAATTAGATGGATATAGTCTCATTTCAAGTCCTATACTCTACATAAATTTTGGTATTTGGCCATGTATAAGTTACACATATCTCATCTTATGTGGAAAAGAGCAGTTCATATATGATCTACCTTCTAGACTTGGAAAGTGTATAAAATCAGAAGCTTATGCTGATGCAGTCAGGTTTTATACTGGAGCCATGCCGATTTTAAAGGTTGATTTTCTTACATGGTTTATCTCTTTTCTACTTCCCTTTCTCATTTTGTTCTTTTTGTATGATATCAATCTCTCTTTTTAAATGTGTAGTCACAAATCACCAATGACATGCCTCTTTGTTTTATTTTACCAGGCATATGGAGACTCATCTTTCCAGGACTGTAAGAGAGCATCTGAAGAAGCAGTGGCTGTTATTATAAAGAACTTGCAGGTTACATTTCTTTTGCTTTAGTTACTACTTAATGGTGTTTCATTTAGATTAACCACTTCACTACATCAGCATATGATGAGGGAAGTTATGCGTGATGGTTCTGTCATTTGAATGAAAGTCAAGGGATGCATTAGCAATGATAGTGATTAAAATTAAGTTGAAAAACAAGAAAATGAAGCCTAAAGGAATGTTGGTTGAGGTGGCGAGAAAATACATGACGGACAATGGTTTAATGGAGGAATTGGTCATGCTAAAAGTTGATGCTGGAAAAATGATTTGTGCGGATGGTCTCAAGTAGTTGGCACTCAAGGTTTTGTTGAGTTGACCCTATTAAAGTGGATGCTGAGAAATGACTTGTTTATCTGGTCTCAAGTAGTTGAGTTGAATTGAGTTTGAGTTACGCTAGTAGTGGGAGGCTGCTAATTTAACAACTGACAGCAGGAACTGTGGGCGACGAAGAGTCTTGCCTTGCTGCCTCCTCTTAGGTTTAAGGTGACGACACATAGTTTATAAAGATGGCAGGAGGCAAGACACCATCTTCAGACAGTATGTCACAACTTCTGGTTTGTTGGTCAGTATTGAAGATTCTGATTCTTATAAACAGTTGGAATAAGCAAAGTTTACTTTTCAAGCTAGTGGCTTCAAGGCCCTTCAATTCCCATTAATTTGGAATGAAGTAACAAGTATGTTTAACAAGTAATATGCCAGTTGAGAAAATTACAAGAACAAAATGATCTCCAGCTCTTAAACAAAGTCTTAGTTCTGCAAGCAGGATATTGCAAAAGGGTGCCCTTACTTCAAGCATAGATACAGAGTGAGATATGCCCAAGGTGTCTCATATGTACTTCATCTTTCAATGTTATAAGCTTCTAAGGTTGAAATTGTTTTGAGATGAGACTCAAGGTGTAGTTGTCAATTCCATGTGATTTAAATACTCCTGAGGTCCTTCGTAGTTTGGGCCTGTTTTATATATGCTTCTGACTTATGGTCAGGCAATATTGTTGGAGAATAGGTTTCTTATGGGTCTGCTTTTTTCTGGGGGAAACTTATGATATAGCTGTTAAAGGTGATAAATAAGAAAAAGAAGTAGAATAATTCTTGGTTTTAATTGCTGAATCTCTGGTTCTTTTGCTGCTATAATAATAGTAACTTCCTATCATAGGACCTCATACTTAAATTCTCTTTCTTTCAGGGAAAGCTATTCTCAGATTCTGAATCTATACATGCAAGAGCTGAGGCTGCAATGCTTCTTAAGCAGTTGAATTTCCCGGTATGTGTTTTACTGGTTTTTGTCAATCAAGCTTATTTGCTACTTGTTTTGTTTCTTTTATTCTTACAAGGAAAGTAGTCATTCTGATTCTGTTATCGAATTACACAAGGAATATTGCTAGATATTTAAATCTGAAAAGATATGTGACGTATTATTAAGTTGGAAACTAAGTAGCACAAACAAGGACACACAACACGAATTCATTGACATTTCAATTTTAAAAAATGAAGGATACGACATGTTTTGGGCACATTAAAATTTATATTTTTTAAATTTATTATACGTCATATATATGAATTACCTATTGAAAGATAATGAAAAACATCTAACATAACATTAATTATGTTTAAAAGTTATATATTTTATAACTTAAGCATCAAAAATATCATTCACGCAACAATTACATTTTAAAGAATGCAAAACAATTACAAAATATTGTAGTACTCATAATATATTCATCTTATAAACTAGATGTTGTGCACACCCACATGGGTGTGCTTGAAATTTCCATGTGACTTGAGATTGGCAGTTATAGATTGAATCGGCAATTACAAAAGGGCCTATGCTTGAATTGTTAATTACAAAAGGGTAATCTAGGAATAAAATTTATGTGACAGAAAAGTGTCAACACCAACTCAACCCTTTGTATCAGACAACAGAATAGATATTTCAAAACATATTAAGAGTGTGTAAGTAGTGTTATGAAGAATGCAAAATATTATTATTATGAAGGAATTCTTCACAACATGTTTAGAGGGTTCAAGAAGTATCACTGAAGGTCTGTGAAATGTCATTAAAGTGTCCGATATTATGAATTTGTTTTTTTAATTAAGACACATTGAAGAAGTGTTAGACACGCTTTTACGAGGGTCCAAAGAGTGTTAGGCACGGCATGCTTCCTCTGAAGAGGTCTGTGCGTCTTAGGTTGGAAACTTACATTTCCTAAGACTTGTAGTCTTTGTGGGCTAAAGATAGAATTCTGGTTGTGCACTCAGAATCCTACAAAATGACACAAGTATCTAAGGAAAGATTCTTTGCGTTCAACTGAAGCATTGATATGTAAACCATGACAGTTTGGCTTTGTATTTACAGGTTGACAGCTTGAAGGTAAAACTCCTTGAAAAGTTAGAGCAATTCATCGACAATCTTCAACTCGAATCTACAGAAATAAGCAATGCTGTAGTGGGTCTTGACGAACCTCCTAAACAAGGAAATATTGCCGAGTCAGTTCCTTCTTCTCATGAGGTAAATGGACACAAAGAGCATTTACATTTTTAATAGATTCTAAATATTAGGAATTTTAAGAACTTTTTTTTTTTTCAATTGCTTATTTGTTGGTATATTCTTGGAAGTTTATGTATAAGGGTGCAAAGTGCAAGTAAGGCTAGTAGTAGTTGAAAATATGCAGCTTATTTGCTTCTTCCAACTTTTCCTGCAAAGAACTTTAAACGTTCTGATGACTTAAAAGTTCTCTTGATCCATATGTAGCCTTGTGGAGAATTTAATTGGTTTGTGATTTTCGTACATTTATGCCTGTACACACTACAATGGAAGTACAAGTAACTTATCATTTGGGTGCAAACCTCGTGATGCTAAAGGAAACTGTTTCTCATTTGATTTTTGCCCTTGTTTGTTGATATCAAAACCCCTTCCAGATGTTAATGCAATTGAAGTGAGATGAGCAGTCTCAATTCTAGACTGGGCAAGTGGCACTCGCATGTATTAAGTGTAAACTATGTTAGATGGATGGGTGTCGGGTGTGGGTATTTATGTGTCCAAGTGTTAGAGTCATCTAATTCCATGTCTAAGGACACAGGGACACAAAAAAATATTAATATTCTTCAGTATATACTGCTTTTATTTTGTAGAGTAAAATGGTGTTCACAAGCAGTCAGAGCATTTCATGCATAATATGGAGTATTATGATCATCTTAAATCACTAAATATGCTTGCAAGGTGAAAGTCGACCTACACATGTTAGACACATATCCCATACCTTTACCAAAGTGTTGAGCGTCTGACATGGGTACTTCATACATTTAGAGAGTTCATGTAGCATAGAGTATAAACAAGCATCTAATTACAAATGTAGGAGCAGGCTGGTCATGTAGTTCTACCTACTTTCTTGTTCTCCTAAAGCGTATGCAACTATTGCTTCTTCTTTTTTTTCAAAAAATTATTTATTGATTGATTTTTACATTATGCAGTTAGTTCATGCTTATCAAACTCTTTTCCTTTTTTTTTTTTTTTTGGTTTAGGCTTCAACTTACGAATTTGTTGAAGCTGTGCGTGCTTATCGAGTAATATTCCCTGATTCGGAGCAGCAACTAATCAAACTTGCACATGACCTAGTTACCAAGTATGAGTTTATTTTTCATAATTTTTCTCAAATCTGCTAGCATTATATGATGTTCTCATTTCTTGAATGATCTTTTTAGAGTAACATGTGGTTTTGCTCATAAAATGTCGTTGACACTTGTTTCTGTAGGCACTTTGAAGCCATTCAACAACAAATCAAGAGACAGATTTGTTCAACAGATCTATTGGGAATGCTTCGTAAGTTATAAATGCCTGCCATTACATCATTGTATTTGTACTGGAAGTGCTAGTTTAAGTATCTACCGTAATTAGTTTTTTAGCCCCAAGTAGTTGCTACTTTGAGTTTGAGTTGAGTATATGATTCTTAAGCTAAGCAATTGCTTCAATAAACATGACGCCCCTGCTTCACGTATGTGAAGCAGGTTATCATAGAGTGAAGTGGTGACCTATCCTAATAATATGTTTAGACTCAAGGTTGCTGGGCTTTTCCAAGCTCGTTTTTATTTTAATAATTTGCTTTTATTCCTCTTAGCTTTTAGTTGGTTGCTCTTCTTTATTTAACAATTATATGATTATTAATAATAAAATGATAATCATACCCTTATAAGACATATTATTTCCTGACAGTTTCGAAGGGGCAAGGACCTTTTTTCCTCTACGGACAAACTCCAGCATGGTTGGATATCCTTGCTTAGGTTTGGATGAATCTATTGAGTGATCTCATCAGATTTAAACCTGCACTCTAGTATTTAAGAAGCGACCGGTGAGAATACACAGTGAAAATTGCATTATAGTTAAAGATCCTTGCTAGGTTTGAGTGAATCTACTGATTGATTTCTTCATACTTGAACTCGTATTTTAACGATTTAAAAGTGACTGGTGAGAAAACTGCAGTTAAGCGTGCAAGGAAAATGCATTTTCGCCAAAGTAGGTTGCCTTAATATAAACTAATCTAACATTAAAAGATTGCAGGATGCTCATAACTGGAGTTGATGTTTGCCCTCTTTTTCAATTCCTCGTATTTGTCCTTAGGCCACGTTTGATTCATCAAGAAGTTATCCCGCATTTGGTCCAAACTTTCTGACCCGGGATAACTAATCCCATGGAAGCCTTTTATCCCGCGTGTATGGGATTATTTTTTCCTGGGGGAAGGGTGGGACAACTTATCCTGGGATAAGACTTTTATCACAAAATTTCAAAATGCCCTCCTCTGGATAAGTTATAGCAGGATTGTAATTTTGGATTAACTTATCCCGCCTAATTGTGTCCATGAATCAAACGTGGCCTTAGAATACAGATGGAGAATTAGTTTTTCTTGTTTCTCATAACTTGAATAAAACATAATCTTCCTTTACCTCATTTACATGAGAAGAGCAAAACCGAACTTCATGAACTTTTAAAGAGGTCCTGTACACAAGGAATTCTTTTGTAACCAAGGGGATTTGCACAATGAACATACACCCAATTTATTTATTTACTTATTTGTCAGGTTCCAACGATTGCTGTTCGAAATGGTACTACTTTTGGTCCTACCGAGTCAACAAAAAGTCTGCTTGATTTGTTAATTTTTTGCTTAAGAATTTTGTTGTTGCAGGAGGTCCTCTGGATGCCAACTGGAGAATGGAGAGTACCCCCAAAGTCACTAAATTTTCTATTAAAAACTAGTCTCAATGAGAAATTAGTCCATTAAGAATACTAGTTAATATAATATTGTTGCTTGACACCATTAAACTTTCTGTTAACATAATCATGAAATAATTTCAACTTTTCAAAACTTTGAAATATGTTGATTTGAAGTTGAAATTTAATTCATTTTCTTAATCAAATGTTCATCTTTAAACAGGGGTAATTTGGACCAATGTGCTCTTGATGGATGAAGTGTTGCCTGATGTTGCTCTTTCTGATTTTTCTTTAGAGGTTTTTCTTATCGTTTCCTTCAATTTTGTAGTTGATAATTACCTCTCCCTGGATTCAACTTTCCTATCTCATTTCGATTGAAAATAAGCTGTGTCATGCTTATATGTGGATGAAGTTTGTATATTGATTACCTTTATATGGTTCCAGGCTTCCCGTCTTGCTGTCAAACATTATATTGATAGCACATTTTCTCATCTGCTACTTGATATCTCAGGTTAGTCTCACCATTGAAGTTTTCAAAGTGTAAAAAGTTGATTATTTAGATCAAAGTTCATTTTTGTTGACACAGCTACCACTAGGTACCGCAACCAGAAAAGAACTGACTTAGGGTGTTCTAAAGAAATCTGAGCCACTTGATAATTTTTAAATATATATATATGTGATCAAAGATAATAGGAGACGTAATTTATTAGTTTCTATGAAATATATGACATTAGCAACCCACAATTGATTTGTACGAGTTTCAGTTGTTCTCAAGTGTCTGATAAGTTTGAACTTTGAATTGGAAGATGCTCTTACAAGACCGAAGGAGGGAACAGAAGAAGAATATTATTTGCAGTCTGCTCTTGATGCCAGCAAAAAAGCAGTAACTGAAGGCAGCATGGACGTCCTACAGGTAAAACATGAGTAGTTATTAATTATACCTGTCTGCATATGTAGGGACTCATTGCCAGTTAGGTTATCCTCAACTTATGATTATTCATGTTAGGCAATTGTCAGATCTACCAATGCTGCTTGTCACATCCAAATCGATTTCAGATCTGCATAAGTTGTCGTTTTACATGAAACACTTCTTATCAAATACTTGGTGCTTCCAAGTCTTCTGTTTTGATTTGTAAGGGTGCTTAGGTGTGTTGATGATTTTTAGTTCTTGAGCTAGTATTGGTGTAATCAAAAGCAGTACTACCCCAGCTATCTGCGTAATTCCTGTATATATATCACAATGTGGTACACATAAGTTACAAAGCTCCAGCTTTATCAATCCGAAGAGCTATTTTCTTTCCTTATTTTTCTTTTTGTAATGTTTTTTAATAAAAAAATGAATTAAACCATATTAGATGATCTTTTGGAAGTGTTTAGGGAGCTTGTGCATTCTGGAGTTATGCATTATTAATATTACCCTACTGACTGAAAGCAAACCATTTTGTTAAAGAAATTACCATACCATGTTCTAATGTTCTTCTTCTTCTTCTTCTTCTTCTTCTTCTTCTTTTTTTGTTTTGGATAAGTATACTTGTTCTAAATAAGCCTTGTAATGATGTGATGCTTACCTTTTTATGTTCCTTGTAGTTCAATAATTGTCATTCTAAACTATTTTTTCTATTTCAATTTTTCATGTCGATTTCCTTTGCTATTATAGTCCTTGTACTTTTTTTGTTAAAAAGATTTTATCATGATAAACAAGCATCGCATTACAAGTTGAAGTTAGTCATTGTCATGCTACTTCATTTTACCTTTTTGATCTCTGATTATGCTATCTGTATCACAGGACTTCTGTCGACTTCTTGATAACGACCTTGGACTTCTGGTAAAGTTGAGAGAATTAATCATTGACTGGGTACAAGAAGGATTTCAAGACTTCTTCAGAAAACTTGATGATCGCTTCCTCTTGCTCTCTGGAAAGACTAACTTAACTAGTCAAGATCAAGGTTTGACGGAGGAAACACAGAAAGTCAAAGTTCTTTCTGGGCTTATTCTTGTGATGGCTCAACTTTCTGTTTTCATCGAACAAAATGCCATTCCAAGAATCACTGAGGCTAGTAGATCTTTAATACTTACACAATCCTATTGTTTTTTAAGCCTTATGTAGCATAATTATTGTGCTTTTCACAGTTTTAGGAGCCTACTTTGAATTTTCATTTTCAAATTGTCAGGAACTAGCTGCCTCTTTTTCTGGTGGTGGTGTTCGAGGCTATGAATATGGACTTGCTTTTGTTCCTGCAGAAATTTGTCGCATATTTCGGTCAGCTGGTGAAAAGTTTTTGCACCTTGTATGTTTGACACATCCTGAATTTATGTTCTCAAATTTATAATCTGCATTGCGGTTACTAAACATGTGCTATAGTTGTGAAGCCAATTTGTTCTAAAGTTGCTTTATGATGAATAAAATTAGTTCTGACCATTCTATGCTTATTAGGCTAAATCCCAAAATTATTTGAGATGCGTGTTCCCTTCATGTGAAGCATCTTACTTAGAATTTTTTTACTAGATCATGGTTTTAGTTTCTACAATTCAGCCCAAAATTAGCCCTTCTGCACCAACACATATGCTATTCATCTTATTATGGTTAATGAAACCTATATTTCTCTCAATTTTTGAGTATGAAACAATCAACATGGCTCTTCTGGTTTTCGTGAAACTTGTTTTCTTCAGCGCTCGTAGCTGTTGGCGCATTGCGTTTCTCAATCCTTTTCAATCTGCACTTAAAAGTGGTCAATTTGGGATATAATGCATTGACATGCTGGAATTTTTACTTCATCATTTTCATCTGTCTCTTCCTGCACCCTTTGAAACCAAATCAGAAGGAGGAAATCAGAGAATAAGATCCTTTTAGGCAAATTATGTTCTCTTTTTCTGTCCTAACCATTTATGATTGTATAATATACTGTATCTATTCAAACTATAGTTGAGCATATAACTCTTGATAGAACAGAACAGTGAAAAAGAATTCATATAGCGAACCCCACTTGAATGGGACACATGGCTTAGTTTGGTATTCAAACTAATATTATTTTGTTTATTAAAAGTAGCAGAGCTTTACATAGGTATTGCAAAATGGATTCCTTTTTCACTGTATTTGGTTGGCATATAGGCACTGGTGATCAACTGGAGAGCAAGCTGGGTTGGAATGATCTAGAATTCTGACCAAGGCACCTAGCATTAACAAAAAAAACTAGTTGATGTTGATTTGGCTTTATTTGGAGTCCCATTACATGTAGAATGTAGTTCTTTATTTAAATTTTTGGAAATGTTGTTGGGCAGTTACTTTTTGGGTTAATTTGAGCTACTAACTGAGATTATTGTTGCTCTGAGTTGACTTGTTTATCCAACAAGATGGAACTTGGAATGTTTTCACTATTCATTGTAACTATTTCACATCAAAAATTGGTAATAAATCCAATTTTAATCTTGCTATGTTTTGCAGTATATCAATATGAGAGCTCAAAAAATATCAATTCTTTTGAGGAAGAGGTTTACGACACCAAATTGGGTCAAGGTCAGCACAGCTTAATGTAGTATTTCTGCGACCTTGGAAGGACATTACCTAGTTTAGCAATAGTTTAACATCTAATTGTCGTATAGTTAAGCTGATTTACTCTTTTTTTGGTGCTTTTCTCTTTCCAGCACAAGGAACCGAGAGAAGTTCATATGTTCGTTGATTTATTTCTTCAAGAGGTGAGTTTTGTTCATTTTGATTCATGTAAGGTTCTGATCTAGTGAATTATAAATGGAGTTCGAGAGAATTTCATTTGGATGTCAGTTTTTCGCTTGGGGGGGGGGGGGGGCGGGTGGGGAGGGCGGGGGGGGGGTAATATAAATTCCATATGATTTATCTATAGGTTCATTACACCAAGACCACATCAACTATTAGCAAATATTAGTTACCCCTCATCTACATCCTTAACTAAATAAATTTATCATTATATGGTTTTTATAGTTAAGGGTGTCAAAATGTACGGGTTCATAGATGAGGGGAATAAACTGATATTTGCTAATAGTTGAGGGAGGCCTTGGTGTAATTAATCTATTATTTAATCGTGTTGTATACTTTTGATGCATGGATGTATTTATAGGAAAAAAATTCAAGACGCTCACTTTGAATTTCTCATTTGCTAGTTGGAAGCAATAGGAACTGAAGTGAAGCAAATTTTGCCTCAAGGGCTTCATCGTAAACATAGTCGAACTGACAGCAATGGAAGCACCATTTCTTCACGCAGCAATCCATTACGGGATGATAAAATGAGCCGGTCAAGTGCCCAAAGGGCTAGGAGCCAGCTTCTGGAAACACATCTAGCAAAATTGTTCAAGCAAAAAATGGAAATTTTCACAAAAATTGAACACACACAGGTTTAGTATTTGTTCTGTAGAAAATATAACTGGTACTTGTATCAGAATAAAATCAACTGATAATGCTTGTAATTACAGGAATCGGTGGTAACAACCATTGTCAAACTTTGCTTGAAGAGTTTGCAAGAGTTTGTTCGACTCCAGACATTTAACAGGAGTGGATTCCAGCAAATTCAGTTGGACATTCAGTTCCTGAGGACTACTTTAAAAGAAACTGTTGAAGATGAAGCTGCCATTGATTTCCTATTTGATGAGGTAACTGGATTAGGTTTATTATATCCTGGTGTTCAATTGACATCTACTTTTTTCTTCTGCTATCGTATATGGCTTGAAATTAATAATCAAGAAATTTAAGGGAAATTGTTGAAATCTTGGAACCATCAAGGAACAAGATTTCATTTATTTTTCATCTGACAGCTGATACATTTCCGTTTCTTGGGAAAAACAAAACATTGTTGGAAATAATGAGTTGTTTCAACACCTATTAGGAATATTTAACAATGCGTATTTCTATTTGCATCTTTTTGTCCAAAGAAAAAATTGAGAATAAACAAAAGTAATTATAGAATCTTATAATAGACAATGAGAGATAGAGAAGACAAGATAAAACAAATAGGATTAAGTCATTTTTTTTCGTACCTACTACTATTAGAATTTTGCATTTTCTTAATGTTTTTTCATGAACGCTCCGTTTAAACTGTTTACTTATGAGCTTTTAATATTCAATTATTTAACCATTGAGAATGTATTGACATTTTATATAAGCTTGATTTTTTTTCCAAACATTTTCAAAAGTTTTCATATTATTTTCTTATTTCTCTAGTGTTTCTGAAACATGTTTGGTTTCCAAGATTGCTGAAACTGTGAGATATTCTGTGATATATTATTATGGCTAGACTACCCTCATAAACTAATTAATATATCATAGAATATCTCACAGAAACATCATACTGACACAAAATTTTGATCCTTGGGAGCCATTAGTGTTCATGATGATAAGCATTGGCTTGTTTTGTTGAGCAGGTGGTTGTTGCTGCTGCAGAACGCTGTCTTGATCCAATTCCCTTGGAACCACCCATCCTGGACAAGCTTATACAAGCGAAGTTGACAAAGACCTCAGTGCAAAGCCCAACCTCTTCATCACCACATGGAATAACAAGTCAGTGATGCGAATGCCCCGTGCTACTATAGAAGGCGATGACACATCTGCAGCGGTTATGTTTGAATTTTGATGATCGAAATCTGACCTATGAGCACCTGAAGTTAATGATCAGGTCTTGAAAGTTATACGGACAAGTTTCAGCTTGAATTTAATTGTTTTCGGTGCGCGTTCAAAGCTTGATTTTTAGTAAGTTTTATGGATATTACGGCCTCGTTTGGGAAGTGGCTATTTTAGTAGGCTATTTGACTTTTTGGCTATTTTAGTAGGCTATTTTAGTTTTTGTGTTTGGGAAGATGAGATGGATTTTATTTGAGTTGTTGTATTGAAAAATGTGTTGAAATGATGTTTTATATTAAAATGACAAATATGTCCCTAAAAAAATATTTTTTTTAAATTGCTATCAAGGGGTAAAATCGTAATTTACTCATTGATGGAACAATTTGTGTAGCTAACAGTGTAGGCTGTGCCTACACTGCCGGCAGTGTAGTTTATTTATTTATTTGTTTTTTTTGAAAAAGCTTTGAACAGTGGGCTTTTTGGCTAAATTTTCATTTGAGGCTATAATAGCCTCAATCTACTCTTCCCAAACAGCGCCTACGTATGCCATCATTTTGTTATGTTATATGAGGTGAAATTGTTCAATTGTAAGCACACAATTTCATTTGTTTAATCACTTCAATAAATTTTTGTTGTGGCCATAAAGACATTAAATATTAAATATAACGCTAATATCACGTGGTGGTATTATTATTTAATGAACATTGTTGATTTGTGGTAGAGGTCACAATATTATTGGATTAAGGAGAGATAAGGATTGACTACTTAATACACTTATGACTTTTTATTAGCTGATGATACTATGGAAGATAGTGCTACTATTACATTTAATATTTTTTTCCAAAACATACATTGTCCTGTAAAAGAAAAATCCAACTTTTGTTTTAATGTTTTTTATTATATTTTTCAGTTATGATTTATTTTTAAATTTTAAGAGATTTCATAGTATAAAGTCCTTAAAAAGGTCAAAAGATAAATAAAATATAAAGTAGGAATAACAACTCAGGTTTTTAGGTGACGATAATTTTTTAAAAAAGAGATTAAAACACGAAAAAATTTAAAATTTAAAATTTAAAATAGTAAAAGTGTAATTTACCTTAATTTATGTCACTAGCATGGTATGGCATGGCTTAGTTTTAGATAGATATTGGGGGTTAGGGTAAATTAAGAAAAAATAAAAAGACAAATTATTAATACCCTTCGATTTGATTAAAATACGGATTTCTTTTTAAGATTTGAGAAATTACATATTATCCCGTGAGGTTTATATTTGCATAGGATGAGATGTAATTTCTCAAATCTCAGGAGAAAATTCATATTTTAGTCAAATTTCGAAGGGATGTTGGTAATTTGTCCAAAATAAAAATAGGAGTCAAAATGAGAAAATGTTGCAACTGAATGGTAGCAAAATGTAATTTAACATTTGTTTGGGTAAGAGTTTTTTTACGCGGAGACACACTTGGCACAAGCGTCCCTTGACGAAAAGGGTTTATCGCGAGAGAGAGAGAGAGCAGAGGAAGAGGAAGCCTCAGTAAACACTGCTTGCTTCTGTCGTGTTGTTCTGCAATCGCTTCTCTTCAAGGTTAGTCTAACATCGTTTCCTTTTCTTTATTTTCTCATCTTGTTTTCATTGTGTAATCTCGAAAATATTTCGGATTTAAAGATTATTGAATTAGGGTTTTAGATATTTGAAATGGATGAACTAGAAGAAGAAGAAGAAGAAAAAAAAAAAAAGTAGTGTAAATTTCCTATGAATTTGATATTTCTTGCCTATTTTGTATTATTTTAGCTTCTTTATTCCATTGGTTTGTGGGTTATGGTTCTGTGAGTTTGGTCTTTGGTATTTAAATTTCAGAACATTTTACATCTTCGAGTTAACATGATTCTTGGCGAGTTATTGTTGTGGATTTTAAGTACAGTTGTAAGCTTGCAATTGAATACATAAACATATATTAGATTCTTTTGCTCTTTTATGTTCACCTGTGTTGTTTGTTTGATCTGAAAAAATTGGCTTCTTTACAAGAACATCCGACCATCCACCCCACCGTATTCTATTGTTGATGCTCCCCGGACCTGGATGGAAGAAAATTTTACATATGTCCATATTAGGAATCAAACCACCAAACTTCGCCTTGGGCCATAGCAAACTAGCTCAGTGAGCTGGGTTTTGCCCTGAACTTTGCTTTGGGTGCCTACCTATAATGCTCCATAGTCTTGGGTGTGAAAATTGGGTGTGATTACATGTCCAAGTGGCAGACCTTGCTAAACCTAATTCTTAGAATATTAAGATGTGTAAACAAAAGTCAGGTATGGATATGGGGATATGTGGGGAGCATGTATATGTTGCATATTGTATATTGTAAATCTTGTTAGATAAAATGTTGTAAATTATTTAAAAACGTACTCAAATTTAAATAGGATTTACAAAAAATATGAAATTTTATAAATGAATCTTCGTTACATGTTTTCTCAATGAGGATTTTTTTTTGCGAGTTCGACCCAAATTTTTCTTTGGCTCAATTATTTTTGGGGGTGGAGTGTGGGGTGTGAGGGTGTGGGGGGAGAGTAGACATTATCTAGCAGGTATGGAACACCATTTATCTGTGTGCCCATCTAATGATAACATTGGTAATTTATTTTTTGTCCTTTGTCCACCATTTTCTTGTTTTTAGGGCCCTGTATTCATTTAAGCCCCTTCTATTAGTTCGGCACACCACCAACATGGAATTCTCAAAAAACAGGATAATTACTTGAGGGAGAGAGATATTTGACTTTTATCTTTGTATTTAGGAAAGCTAGATGGGTTCCTTTTATTGACCATCTAAGGATAGGGCTGTTCAATTCTGTTCATTAGAGTGATCAATGCAGTTATATTCATTCTGATGGAAAGTAATTAGTGAAGCTTGCACATGAATGTTGGCTGTGGTTCTTGTGCCTTAGCTTTTTTTGCTTTCAGTGAATTGGCTCTGAAAACCCTACATTCAAGTACATGCTAATTCTTAAGTTCATCAAAGTCATGTGGTCACTGCCATTGAGATCATATCAAAATTACACATTGAATTGAAATTTTAATTTTTTAACTTCATTTGTTATGTTTAGCCAGCTTCCACTGTCTGTATGGTGTATTACTGCCTATAAGATAAACTGATTCCTTCAAAAGATTGCACAAGGGGGAACAAAAAAATTTGAATTGAACATTCTTATTGACAGTTTTGGTAATTGATGGTTGAGTGAGTTATTAACTCCACTTGTGGTCTTATCTGGAGTCTGTCTTTAACACAGTCTCTTTCAACTCACAGAGGAGGTGAATAATAGGAGAAAAGAATATAAGAATGCAAATTAGTATTGCTGAATTTATGCTTCTATTTGTTTCACTAAGGTTGAGGATTGCTAAATAATATGCAGGAGTTAAGAGGATATATGATGGAGGCTCAACCATGTGAAACCATTTCTCAACCTCGGGTTAAAGCTGTAATCCGCCTTGGATCAGAAACGTATACTGTTAATGCAAGCAAAGGAATTCTTTCTGAACAATTAGTTTCGATGAAAGAGGAGAGCATGAGCATTCTAAAGGACTTCATCACCAAACATAATGTCCCGAATGATGTTCCTGATGAAATTGACGATATATCATCAGGCGATGATGATGATGGTGAAACCTCGGAAAAGGTTACTCTGAAGTCAAAGAAGCAACGGAAATGACTTGATAACTTCTGAGCTTAAATTATATTCTGCTTTTGTGTTCGAGAACTGTTGTGAACAAAATCTTATAATGTGTAATTGTTACTTACTGTTACCAAAGCAGCATATTGTCCGGTTCCAGGGCAGACTGGCACCAACAGTGTGGATGAAGTGGTTTCCAGGCGTCAGTTTCTTTGGATCAAGTTTTTTTTAATTCTGTTTTTATGGGCATTTCCTATTAACATTTACTTCTTTTGTTTTTTGGGACCTTTTTATGGACCTTTAGGCCTCGTTTGGCAAGAGGCTATTTTAGCCAATTAGCTAAAAAGTTACTAAATTAGCCAAAAAGCCAACAACCCATACCAAAAAGTCAAAGATTCTCTTTTCTCTCTACTTTTTGCACATCTTTTCGTAATTAGCCAAAAAGTCATCCCAAACATACAAGTTTTTTTTACCTACCTTTTTAGCCAAATAGCCAAAAAGTTACTAAATTAGCCTGTTCCCAAACGAGGCCTTAGTATGAGTTTTTATTTTTTATTTTTTATCAACACTAAAAGGTAGTAGCTTTAAACAAATGTAAAACCAAAACTTGTTTAAAAAGTTGATGTAAACAAAACTTTATTTTGTCATAATAATTTTTGTAAAAATTATTTATTAATGACTTCATTTTTCCAGTCTTACACTCTCCACCACCACATCACACACACACACAACCACTGCAAGCCCCTACTATCTCCACCCACTTCTTCTGGAAACATAATTTCACTAAATAATTTAGCCTTTTTTTTTAATTGTTTTAAGAAATGAAAAATAAGACGGTTACTATTTATGAAAATTATAGCATTAAAGAAAAAAAAAAGTGAATGGAGAAAGAAAACCGCCGTTTTTCAGGGTTCACTTCACGCGAGAGGAGACGCAGAGAGAGAGAGAGAGACTACGGTCGGAGAGTTGATTTACCCACAAAATTCCCGCCAAACTCCCGCAGTCTGAAACCGTGAATTTCCCGCCATCTCCCTACTATTTTAAAAGCCCCCTCCACTCCACTCATCAAACTCCCTTCGCTTTCTCTTTTTCTCACTGTCACTCACTCAGACGATCCTTCAGCTTCTCATCTCTCTCTCTCTCCCATGGCCCCTTTTCGTCGCCCCAGCAATGGCCGATCTCCATTGGTGAATCAACAAAGCCAAATCACCGCTTTCTTCTCCAAATCCGCTTCCTCTCCTTCTCCTTCATCTTCCTCTCTTGTTCCCTCCTCCAAACAAACCCCTAAATCCCAACCTAACCCTAACCCTAATCCCAAACCCAAACGGAGTCCCAGCCCTAGCCCCACCACTCCTTCTCCTCTCCAAACCAAGCGCAAGAAACCCCTCCTAGTCATCGGCCCATCTCCCTCCCCTTCCCCTTCCCCTTCCCCTTCTACCCCCGAATTCCCCAATAAATTGTACGGCAAGGAAGTGGTTAACAAGAGGATTAGGGTTTACTGGCCGCTCGATCAATCTTGGTACGACGGTTCTGTTAAATCTTTTGATAAAGTCTCTGGCAAGCATCTGATTCAGTATGATGATGCCGAAGAAGAGCTTTTGGATCTTGTTAAGGAAAAAGTCGAGTGGGGTGAGGAACAAGTGCCTAGAAAGTTCCGCCGGTTGCGTCGTGTTTCGGTCATCGAGGATGATGAAGAAGAGGAGGCTGTAGCAAATGCGGAGGAGGTCGAAAACGATGATGATTCTACCGATGAAGATTGGGGTAAGAATGTGGAAACACAAGTAGCTGAGGATGTTTCAGAGGAAGATATGGATATGGAGGACGAGGACGAGGACCATGATGATGAGGATGCAGTGGCAAGTGGGGAGCGAATGCGTGGCAAGAACTTCGAATCAAGAAAGCGCAAGACGAGTGGAGGGGGGAAATTTGTGGCTGAATCAAAAAAGCGCAAGAGCGCTGGAGATGCCAAGAAGAGCACGGGTAAGGTTACTTTGGACGGCAATGGAGGCAAATTGGTAGTGCCCAAAGATAATGGCAGTAAGTAATGGAGTCTAAGAGACTTCTTTTTATAGTATTCTTTCTTTTTCCTCCTCTTGCTGGACTTAAAATCAGACAAGGCAGGTGCAATGCGAGGAGTTGTAACCATAAGCAATGAGTTCTAGCAAATGTTGGACCTTTTCCCAAATTGTATGCTTGCTCAATTCTCTTGATTTAATGATCAACTACAATATATGTCAGTAACCAGAGTTATGATGTATTATGACTTGATTGCAATACAAATGTAATAGGCAATTTGGAAATCAATTCTCGAATAAGAAGGTTCACAACAATTTTTTAATACTAGATATTGCAGTTTATACTTCATAAGAGCTTGTTAGTTTCATTGTTGGTGAGCAGACATTCTGCTTATTTTCATGTTTAGTTATTCCTATTGCTATGGGTTCCTTGGCTATTTATCTCAAGAATAGCAGAAACAAATGTTTTAGTCAGATGTTGTCTGTTGAATGTGGACATTCTTTTTGCAGGTGGGAATGCATCTCATGTTGTGGTTGATGCTGCTGAAAGGTTTGGCATGCGTGAAACACAGAAGTTGCGCTTCCTTGGGCAGTAAGTTCATATTGCATCTCATTGTTTTTTTTTCCTCCAATTATGTGTATAACATGACCAACGAGAGATCAAAGGAACTGAGTTTGCTTCTCTATTAACATCAAAGCCATCATTATTTGATCCTTGAGAAGAGGAAATAATCTGCAATTGCTACGCATTGATCCTTACTATTTATTGTTCTTTAGAGTGTTGCACTTCCCTTTTATATGGATGCACCAATCCTTATTATGCTGATTTACTCTGGCGTTGCAACAGAGATCGTAGGGATGCTAATAGGAGACGCCCTGGAGATGTAAATTATGATCCAACAACTCTCTACTTACCTTCTGATTTTGTTAAGAGCTTATCTGGTGGCCAGGTAATAATATTATGTGGTTACTTGTTCAAAGGTTCTGTTGTTTATCTTGCAGTACAATTCCTTAATATGGGTCCATTTGTTATTGTGTAGAGACAATGGTGGGAGTTTAAGTCAAAGCATATGGACAAGGTTCTATTTTTCAAGGTAAATGGTTATTGTTCACATGGGATAAATCAAGCTCAATTATGTCACTGCAACTAATTATTATCATTCAGTTCAATCACATGATAACTATTTTATCGTTGTTGGAGCAGATGGGCAAGTTTTATGAGCTTTTTGAAATGGATGCACATGTAGGAGCAAAAGAACTTGATTTGCAATATATGAAGGTATCAGTTGGTTCAAGTGCATTCAGAGTACACTGCATCAGTTTTTATATTGTTCTTACAATCTGTCCCTGCTTTTTATTTTTTATTTTTTAATCTTTTGTCTTGGCATTGTTTTTTACTGTTTATTTTCTTGGACAAGACAGTTAAATTATTAAAAGGGGGATGATTACCTCAAAGCATTTTCATATTAAATTCTCATCATAATTTGTCTACTTATTTGGAGAATGGTTTTGTATCACTTGATTTTGTTCCACAAGTTTATGTTTGCATCCACTCGTATTTTAGGGAGATCAACCTCATTGTGGATTTCCAGAAAAGAATTTCTCAATAAATGTGGAGAAGTTGGCACGGAAGGTTTGCCCTCCCCCAAATGCTTTTCAGTTTCAAGTTCTGATTTTTTTTATTATTATTATAATTATTTTATATAGGGCTTATTTAATTTTTTGATCAGCCCATCCTACTTCTGTGATTATAGTATTTACTGAGCTTCCTTGATGGGGCAGGGTTATCGGGTACTTGTTGTGGAGCAGACAGAGACACCTGAACAGCTTGAGCTTCGTCGCAAGGAGAAGGGTTCTAAAGACAAGGTCATATTTCATTAATAGGATCCCAATAGATTTAACCCAAAACAAGTTCATTTTCTGAAATTCTTAGTTGTATTAAAGGTTTACAGTCTACCTCTGGTATATAGGTTGTCAAACGGGAAATATGTGCTGTGGTCACAAAAGGGACATTAACTGAGGGAGAGATGATGTCGACGAACCCTGAGGCCTCTTACTTGATGGCAGTGACTGAGAGCTGTCAAATTTTAGCAAACGACCAGGAGCATATCTTTGGTATTTGTGTGGTTGATGTTGCTACAAGCAAGGTTATTCTTGGTCAGGTGAGTTTAGAATCTGAAAGTAGTGCACTGATGCTTTTTTTTTTTGTTTTTTTGTTGATTCAAAAGAAATAGAACAAAGCAGGAAAGAAACAACAAAAACAAAAAAACAAGGGACATTAAGTCCTTACACATGATGCCCCCACCATGTCTGTTGCACTGATGCTTTTTAGTTACATAATTTGGGTGGAATTTACCAGTCAATGGATCAACACTGAACTATTCACTCATAAACATCTGATCCGAGGATGTGGATATAATTGAACATATGTGTTAACATTTTAATATGAACCATTTGCTGTCAGCTGAGTGGATCACCACTGTCTTGCACCCAAGGGCCAAGATGGAGCACATTCCTATTAAATGGTGGGGGGTTTGCTCAGTGTAATAATTTAAAAAATGAGTGCATGTGTTCCGTGTGGACATGTGTTACCATCTTTATTTGAGTGTGCATTAGAGAAGGTTGCTGTGTGTGTGTGGCAAAATTGATTTCAGCACTTAGTTATTTTGCTTGTTGTGGAAGTTTATTGAGTTTGTGATGAGCCAAGTCTATCTTCTTGATTCTTTTGATTTGACTAAGTATGCATCTATTTTACCAGTTTCAGGATGATCCAGAGTGCAGTGCCTTGTGTTGTCTATTATCTGAACTAAGGCCGGTGGAAATTATAAAACCTGCTAAACTACTTAGTTCTGAAACTGAGAGAGTGCTGCTGAGGCATACAAGAAGTCCTTTGGTTAATGAGTTGGTTCCACTTTCGGAATTCTGGGATGCTGAGAAAACTGTTTGTGAAGTCAAGGCCATCTACAGTTGTATTAATAAGCAATCAGTATCTTCATCTACGAATGATGCAAATCTGCATGCTACTGAGTCCTCTTTAGAAGATGGCTTCAGCTCCCTACCAGATGTCTTGTCGGAGCTTGTGAATGCAGGCGATGATGGTAGCTATGCACTTTCAGCTCTTGGAGGCTCTCTTTTCTACTTGAAGCAAGCTTTTATGGATGAAACTTTGCTTAGATTTGCAAAGTTTGAATTGCTTCCGTGCTCCGGTTTCAGTGACATTGGTCAAAGGCCGTACATGATGCTTGATGCAGCTGCACTGGAGAACCTAGAGATATTTGAGAATAGTAGAAATGGAGACTCTTCAGGGTAACTTTGCCATGTTCTTATATACTATTCAATGTCAATGTCTTTAACCAAATTCTGAGGTGATTTATTTGTCTTTGTAGAACACTATATGCACAATTGAACCATTGCGTGACAGCATTTGGAAAGAGGTTACTCAAAACATGGCTTGCAAGACCTTTATATCATCTGGATTCAATTAGAGAACGGCAGGATGCTGTAGCAGGCCTCAAGGTAAACTTTATGCATCGATAGCTGTTTCCTGTCACATTCAAGTGTACCAAGAATACACAATTTAGAGGGGGCGGGGGCGCGACACTAATGCAAAGGATAGAAGGGGGGATGTCAAGAAAACACACGATAGTGATGCATTTCAGAACTGACATAGAGAGATGGAAAATAGGAATTAGTCATGTTTGGGAAACATTCTCCAAATTTGCAGTTGGATTTGGTGCTTGGCATGAGGGTATATTAGATAGATGAAAAGAGGAAACGTATATAAATGTTTGTGGATTTGGGAACTCATAATTCATTGGGAACTCATAATTCATTAGATACTTTTTATGATGTCAACTTAGGCCTCGTTTGGGAACAGACTAATTTAGTAACTTTTTGGCTATTTGGCTAAAATATGAGCTAAAAAAAACTAGTATGTTTGGGATGACTTTTTGGCTTTTTACGAAAATATGTGCAAAAAGTAGAGAGAAAAGAGAATCTTTGACTTTTTGGTATGGGTTGTTGGCTTTTTGGCTAATTTAGGCCCCGTTTGGAAACCCTTCATTTTAGCTAAAAAGTCAAAAAGTTACTAAATTAGCCAAAAAGCCAACAACCCATACTAAAAAGTCAAAGATTCTCTTTTCTCTCTATTTTTTGCACATCTTTTTGTAAAAAGCTAAAAAGTCATCCCAAACATACTAGTTTTTTTTAGCTCATATTTTAGTCAAATAACCAAAAAGTTACTAAATTAGCATGTTCCCAAACAAGGTCTTAGTAACTTTTTGATTTTTTGGCTAAAAATGAAGGTTGCCAAATGAGGCCTTAGTATCGTAAGTTAATTGCTCCCAGTTGTTCATGGAATAGACACGCATAGATCCATGGATCCATACATAATGATCACACGAAATTTTCCAGATTTGCCTATGGTCTCGATGAAGTCTCTTAGCTGAGCATATGCTATGCATAGAAAAAAGCTATTTATTCAGTATTTTTGGGTAAAAGACCAAGCCTTAGTTTTGCTGTCAGCTGACATTTTATTGATTGTCTGAACACTCGACAAAACCATGATGAAGAGAAGATAATTACTTATTTTTTTCAGGTCACACTTCCAGTTAGACCAAGTAAATAATCCTCTAGTCTCCTTAAAAGATGGTTGAAATGACAAGTTTTATAGAATTCCATAGAAGCTGATGCAAAATTGTATGATATGAACTTTCTTATTATTTTGATAGGCATACATCGTGACATGATTGAATGTCACATCAGAAGCATATGCTTTCATGTTGTTTCATTTGGCAGTTTCTGTTTGATCATCTATCAGTGTTTAGTTGTTATCGCTGAAAAGCGTTTGTACTGTTTAAGTTCATAGGGTTATTAAAAGACTAGAGAAAAGTAGATGGATTGCCGGTATCTATCCCAAAACTAAATAAATAAAATAAAAAAGAAGAAGAAGAAGAAGAAAAGGAAACAACAGCTGTTGTTTACTATTATTAACCAACTCTTTTAGCATGGGTGGTATTACCTTATGCCACCCTCAAAGAGATACAGGGTTCGAGGGATTATATTTAAATTAGCGATGTCACACATGATGACTGGGCCTTGCAGCTTCACTTAAATTTTCTTTTCCTTTTTGGAAATCTCAACTTATCGTTATCTAGTTTTCTGAGGAATTTGATAATTAATTTGTTTTGCCTTGAATCTTTGAAAGATTTCAGGTCCAAATTCTATGTAAACCTTTTGAAAATGGTTGCACACTGAATCTTTTGTTTTTATTTTTTCCACTTAGGTGTTTACTTGTTTGCTTATGGACTCCTGGTCTCAATATCTCCTGATACGTAGTTTGTATTTTAGGGGGTTAATCTACCTTATGCACTTGAATTTCGGAAAGATTTGACCAGGCTTCCAGATATGGAGCGGTTACTGGCTCGCATCTTTGCTAGCAGGTAAAGATAGGCAGTGTCTTGTAATTGTTTGCTTATAAAAGAAATCCTTCTGATTGTTTCCTAAGATGATGTATGTCCATGGATCTACATGTGATGCAGCGAAGCTAATGGAAGGAATGCAAATAAAGTAGTTCTATATGAGGATGCGTCAAAGAAACAGCTTCAAGAGTTCATATCAGCTTTACGTGGTTGTGAATTAATGACCAAAGCATGCTCTTCATTTGGTGTCATTTTGGAAAATGTTGGATCTAGGCTCTTACATCATTTGTTAACTCCAGGTATAATTGGCATTTACGTCTTTAATATTATGATCCAAAACTTACTCTGTGTGCATCTTATACATATCAATTGTGTGCAGGTAAAGGTTTTCCTGATATTCATTCAGTTCTAAAACATTTCAAGGATTCGTTCGATTGGGTGGAAGCAAATAATTCAGGCCGTATAATACCTCGTGATGGGGTTGATATGGAGTATGATTCTGCATGTAGAACAGTTAAGGAGGTGGAGTCTAGTTTGAACATACACGCAAAAGAACAGCGAAAATTACTTGGAGATTTATCAGTAAGAACTTGCCTGAAAGTGACTCCATAGTTAATCTCATTGGTGACTTCTTCCACATTCATTTATTTTAATAACCAACTTTGTACTCTGATGATGTGGTACAGATAAATTATGTAACTATCGGAAAGGATGCATACCTTTTGGAAGTACCTGAAAGTTTGAGTGGGAGCGTTCCTCGGAATTATGAGTTACGATCATCCAAAAAGGTTAGTTTAATTATTTCTGCATACCACATCTATTTGTGGAATCTGAATACTACTGGATAATTTAGAGATGCTTATTATGTGAATATTTTCTTTCTTTCTCTTTTTTTTTTTAATTTTATTTTTGGTAATTAGGGTACATAATTCTTTCTTCACTGACTCTGCAACTTGGAGCATTCAATACCAGTATCATGTGGTACTGTAGTTAAGTTCATCACTGTAAGCCATGCAATGAAAATTGTAGCTCTTTATAAGCTCGTTGTCTCGTGTATCTGCATTTGGTTGATCTGAGGTAGTTGGGATACCATATTCACTATTCTGAAATACTTTGAGAAGCAATCTGGAGGAGATAAGTTATGCAATAATTGGGGAAATAACATAAAAATTTGGTTCTCTATTTTCTTCAATTTCATAGCATGATGAAAATCTTGTTGCCGAGTCATAGAAGTACTTAGGTCAGGGTCTTATATCTGGCATAGGCACATGACCACTTACTCGATATTCAATTTTACAAAATGGTGTTTTAAAAAATTTCATCTAAGATTTTGAAACCACACTGACCCACTAAATGATATGCAGGGCTTCTTTCGGTACTGGAATCCAACTGTTAAGAAGTTGATAGGGGAAGATCACAACACATCAACAGATCTTCAAATAGAACATCATCAACATCAAAAAAAATCAACAGAGAGATCTGAGTAGAGAGAGGTTTGAGAGAGAGATCTGTCATGGTGGAGACGAGAGGAGGAGGCGGCAGAGGGAACGTCGTCGTCGTTGGAGGTCTCGAAGGAGAAGGAGGTGGCCCTCGTCGGAGGAGGAAGAGGAGTTGGCACTCCTCTCGGAGGAGAAGGGTCTGATTCGGTGGAACGTCGTCGTCGTCGTCGTCGGAGGGAACGTCGTCGTCGCCTGTAGACACCTTATTCAGCAATGATTCTGAATCTGCAGACACCTATCTGCCATTGATCTTCATCACAAGATCTCCACAGGAGAGAGAGACGGAGAGAGGGAGAGAGGCTGAGAGGAATGTGATGTGAGTGAGAGAGAGGGCTAAACATCTAATATAATATATATATTATAATAACTATACGGGGGTTTAGTCGGGGCCAGGGCCGGGGTTTGGGAACCTATCCCCGTCCCCGGCCCGAAAGTCATTGGGGATTTAATTTTTAATACCATCCCCGGCCCTATGGGGATAATTTTCGGGGAAAAACCGTTTCAATCGCGGTCGGGGGATCGGGTCCCCATCGGGCCGGGTTTAAATTGCCATCCCTAATATTCACTATTCTGAAATACTTTGAGAAGCAATCTGGAGGAGATAAGTTATGCAATAATTGGGGAAATAACAAAAAAATTTGGTTCTCTAGTTTCTTCAATTTCATAGCATGATGAAAATCTTGTTGCCGAGTCATAGAAGTACTTAGGTCACGGTCTTATATCTGGCATAGGCACATGACGACTTACTCGAGATTCAATTTTACAAAATGGTGTTTTAAAAATTTTCATCTAAGATTTTGAAACCACACTGACCCACTAAATGATATGCAGGGCTTCTTTCGGTACTGGAATCCAACTGTTAAGAAGTTGATAGGGGAGCTCTCACATGCTGAGGCTGAAAAGGAATCTAAGTTGAAAAGCATTCTACACAGGTTGGTTGGACGCTTCTGTGAGCATCACAATAAGTGGAGACAGTTGGTTTCTACAATTGCAGGTACGTATACTTTTTATTCTGAATATGGATTGGGACCTTGTTTAGGGTCATCCTTAGATCACAACCTACTAACTTTTTGTCAATATTGATGCCTCAGCAATAAATTGTTAGGTTTATTGTGCACTGCTTTGTGCTTCACTTTGCTACATGAATTATTTGGGGAAAAAACCATCATTCTGAATTCAAGTTTGTATCCAAGTGCTTGAAAAGAAATTAAAAACAACAGAGCAAAGATATAATTCTCATTCATCTTACATGGTGGAAGTGGCTTGTGTATTGCAGAACTGGATGTTTTGATTAGCTTAGCAATTGCGAGTGACTATTATGAAGGTCCCACGTGCCGGCCCATTATCTCAGGGTTATCATGTCCAGACGAAGTGCCAAGCCTCTGTGCTAATAGTTTAGGCCATCCTGTTCTTAGGAGTGATTCTCTTGGCAAGAGCACATTTGTCCCTAATAATGTTATAATTGGTGGTTCGGGTAATGCAAGCTTCATCCTGCTCACTGGTCCTAATATGGGTGGGAAGTCCACTCTTCTGCGCCAAGTTTGCCTTGCTGTGATTTTGGCCCAGGTAAAGTTCTTGTTCATGTGACTTGCGTGATTTTGCTTATTCTCTTCTGTTTTTTTGCCTTCACTTCTAGTTCTTTTCCAGGTCGGAGCAGATGTCCCCGCAGAAAGTTTTGAAATGTCACCTGTTGACCGAATCTTCGTTAGGATGGGAGCAAAAGATCATATTATGGCTGGCCAAAGCACATTTCTGACAGAGCTTTTAGAGACTGCATCTATGCTGGTTAGTTTCCTTGTAATAATTAAGCTAGTAAACACTTTTGACAAAATATTGGATTATGCACTTCTAGTCCTGACCTGATAGATTGATGAATAAATAATATCTAGACATGCTCTCAGATTGAGATACCAATATTGATACATCAAATTAAATGAAACTTCTAATGGATTCTTTTTGTTTGCAAGGGACATTTTTTTTTCCCTTGTTAGCATTTGTGTTGACTCATGCTAAACACATTCAGAATTAAGTTCTGAAATTCATATTGTTAACAAAAATAGACCTTCCAATGAAAATTAATGATTTTTTCATCTTCTTATAAACTTTCGTTATCAGGTCTGAAAACATTTGCTTGCTCAGCACATAGATTTTACACAAAAATTCCCTTGAAAGTGTTGCTACATGCCATAAGGATGTGAAGTTGTTTAACTATATTTGTGTTATGGACATAATTTATGGTTAATGCAGTCATTGGCAACCCGGAATTCACTTGTGGCATTGGATGAACTTGGACGGGGGACATCAACCTCAGATGGGCAAGCCATTGCGTAGGTGCCACTGAACAAATTATTGAAAAATGTTACTACCTTAAAATCAATTCAGATTTTTGTAATTGGTTCTTACTCACTGCCATGTTCTCAAAAGTTAATTGAGGAAAAGTCTAGTTGATCTCAGTCTGTTTTATGAATTTGGCAGGGAATCAGTTCTCGAACATTTTGTCCACAAGGTGCAGTGTCGAGGAATGTTTTCTACCCACTATCATCGATTAGCTCTAGACTATCAAGAGGACCCCAAAGTATAGCTTCTCTTCTCTTTTGATATTACTTCCCCTGACTGAGATTCAATTCACATTTAATAAAATGAATATTTTGTTGACAAGCAAAGGCCAACATGAGATTTGACCCATTAAAAGACTGATGAATGGGATTAAGTCTTTACAGACTAATTGGCAGCCTGTATGCTTGTCAGATATTTTCATATTGGAAAATTTCAGTTTATAACCATTGCAGTATATATTTTTCCATCTCTAGTCAAGTGGTTGAATTAATGGCTCAAAGCTTTCGTGCATGTTGTCTGAGCGATTATCTCTGTGTCCTGTGCCTAGGTCTCCCTGTGCCATATGGCATGCCAAGTTGGAGGAGTTGGAGGTTTGGAGGAAGTTACCTTTCTTTACAGGTTGACACCTGGTGCGTGCCCTAAAAGCTATGGCGTCAATGTTGCACGCATTGCTGGTAAAGATCTTTTGAATTTTCCTTCTCATCATGTATATTGTGTGTGGTAGTACATGGCGAGGGTTTAGTTTTCAATCCCCGTTTACTGTTTCCTTGATCCTCCGACCGTGTGTTTTAGGCTGGATTGGAAACACCAATTATCAAAGTTAATACGCAGTACCTTTGATATTAACTGTATTTGTGAGTACTGAATGAATATTTTTCAATATAAGAAGCTAATAACATAAACATTAGAGAGGAAAACAGAAAAAAAAAAGAGAACAGAAAAGCCTTGGAAAATTTCGGGGTGATTTCAAATATTTAGTAAAGTTTGCGATGAATCATGATTATGGCAGGAGCAATGTTGTCTAAATATTTTTTTATCAGCAGGGCATCCTGCTAATTATAAATGGTTGCCTGCTATATAAGCTTCAGCAACTTCTCTCCTTTGAAACGAAATTCCAGTTCTTACTAGCACATATTATTTCAGGACTTCCCGATTCAATACTTCACAAAGCTGCTGCCAAATCTCAAGAGTTTGAAGGAATGTATGGTAAACACAGGAAGGGATCTAAAGACAAGTTGCCCATTCAGAGCTGGGACGACAAAGTAACGAGTCTTATCCAACATTTAGTTAAAGTTGCGGCAAATTTGAATTGCCACGTGGATGCTGAGAGCATAGGTGTCAACTCACTGAATGAAATGCAGCATAGAGCAAGGATGCTTTTAAAGCAAAACTAGAACAGTAGTTTTCATGTATGCTTTGCATTGCTGTTTTTCAACAGTCGGGTCTGGTTTCTAGAGAATCTCTCTTGTAGCTATGATTCTACGAGCTTTAACGGGCGCCCTCAGTGTGAGCTATCAGAAGTACACCTAAAGCTAATGAGCCATCAGTTGATTTACAAAGGAGGGGAAAAAAAAGATCGCTCTGTTGGTTTGCCAACTTCGGTGCACATATCATATTTTTGTAACGTGTCTTGAGAGGCATATTGCCAAATGTTGTGGTTTTTAGGAGGCTTTCGTTTGTCCGTCACCATTGGACATATTGTAACTACTGATAGTGAAATTCCAAGTTACCGACCAACAAAAGATTTTGAGTAAATTATACTGACTGTTCTTGAAATGGCAAATTGATAAAGAGTGGAAATGATATAGTTAAAAACTCTTAAAATTTACACACCATAACTCTGGCAAAATTTTATGAAATAGATATTAAGATTATATTTGAATCATAGATTTGATTAAGAATTTGAGAAGAAAAAGGAAAGGAAAAATGAAATTTAATTTTTTTTTCCTTTTTAAATTTCTATTCAAATTAATAATCTAGTAAAACGCAAATTTTCATTTGAAGGACAGAAACCATTCATTGTGGATTGGGTTTAAGAGATGAGGGGTGTACTTTCTTCGAGGCTAAGATGAACATGATAATGAAAGTGGCTATGCCCTCCCAATCAACTTGGGCACAAAAGAGCAACTCATTTGGATTTTAAGTAGACTCGTTTTGGCTTATGTATTCTCCCTTCTTTTCTTTTCTTCTATTTAGTTATTTTATCTATATGATAATCATGAAGGTTCTTTCACTGTGGAAATTGAAGATATTTTGCTTTCGTAGATATTAATAATACCTTTTTTGGTGGGTCCAAAACATCCATGAATCTTATACAAAATTATTAGAAGGGATCTTTTAAAAAAATAAAAAATAAAAATTTAACTGAAGGATGGTGCAACTTTTGTCTTTGTTTTACACTACGAGACTTGAGATTTGAAACTATGTTAACTAAAATGAAATTATAAGTAGTATTGATTATGTGACAAGACTATTAGCATGATAATATAAAATTTAAAATATCAAAAAATTATATTTATTTGTTATGTGAGGTCCGATTATCAATCTTATCTCATGGGAATGTTAATCCCGTCTTGAGGGATTCATTGTCTCATTGAACTTGTAATCTCGTACCACTTTTATTAATCAAACATGATTTATACGAAGTCAACTAAAATGCTAATTTAATCCCATCACCCACGTGGTACTAAACAAAGATGGTTGATGGCAAGGGTTGTCATCGGCCTGGTCCGACTTGCTAATCAAAACATTAAGCCCAAACTTTGTTCAAAGGACTTGGCTTAGTGTCACGGGTTGCCTTGCAAGGTCAACTCTGTGATGTTTTGCTCGTGGTAATGTGACCATTTGAGTGCTCAAGAATGGCTCTTGGAAGTGCCTAGGTGATGGGCATCGAGATTTTAAGTCATTAGTTCGGTGTGTCAACGTGGCCCTAAAGTTGGCCCTAAGCAGCCTATGGCATACAAACCAAGGTTGCAGCACATGCAACAACCCACACCTGCAAAGCTGCAGCCCAGGCCACGTGCCAACCTTGTCGGCCACAAGCTGCGGCCCAACAACAGCAGCCAACAAAGCAGATTTTCGATGCGTTGTTTGAAGGTCCAAATGAAGGAGTTTTGGGTTGAAATTTTTACTAGACTTAGGTCTTGGGATGAGTGTTTTTTGGGAACAAATTTGGTGATTTTTCTCAATTTGTGAAATTTATAAAAAATCATTATGACTCCTCAAGTATATGTCATGTTTCCTTTTACTAGTTTGTCAAAGGCTTTAAAAGCATATATAAGGGGGGTATGCTATGCTTCCTACTTGCCTCCTTGCCTAAACTGAGCTTGAAGTGAGCAACTTTGGGTTAACTCAAGGGCAAGCTTTAAGCATCCAAAGGGGTGTCTAGAGTCTTCACGCGGATTTGAGAGCCTCGTGGACGATGCAAAAATGTAAGCACTGTGCGTCTCTTTCAGGCGCAAGGTTTGGGATGTGCTTTCCATTATGCCATGCGTTATAGCATCTTCGGACTGGTTTTAGATTGAATAGGCTATCAAGGCACTACCAAAGGCCTCGTATGCCAACTCAAGTGCTTGGTTTGGTTCAACCTTATACGTGGGGATCACGTGGCTTAAGTTAAGTGGTTGGAATGCAACATCGCATATATGGGCTATCGAATGAAAGTATCAAGCTATGCATTGACTAAATCCATTAAGGGATGGCATTATGCGATAAGTGAGCTACAGATTGAGACGTTATGTTACTCGGGCGACATTTTAGTGCAACACTAAGGTGCGCAATGGCCTTAGGCACAATCTAACACGTGTTGGCACGAGGACTATGCCATGGGCAAGTTATTGGCCATCAATGTCTTGTAGGTTGTGCATGACCATGTGATTATCCGATATGCATCGATTGAGGCATGCTTGACCTTGTGACACTTCGAGATGCTGTCGAAGACCCAACATGCTATGTTGGCTTGTTAGCTAAGTCGAGGGCCTTCGCTAGCACATTGTTGTGTGGCTAGGCACCTTGATGACATGAACCTAAGTTGGACGAGCATCTTGCTTGAAATAAGCTTGGCGCTATGAAGAAACTTATGTCTTGCTTGGTGCACTTGAGGCATCAAGTCTACTTGTGGCATCCGGGTGAAGACAGAGCTTCGTTGTGGAGTTTTTATGCTTGACAAAGCATTAGGCCCTAATGCTCAAACAAGTGAGATCATTAACACTTGAGTTGTCAATGAGCTATGGCGAGCTTAAACTTGGTGGAGCTTGAGTGCCACACCGGTGAAAAATTGTTCCATTGCGCCTCTAAAGGAGTTAGCCCTTAACACCCAGACAAGCACTTGGATAAGCTAACGAGTGGATTGGCAGGCCGTCTTTTTTGTGGGCTTAGCCCAATAAATTGGGATTAAGTCTTATATTTTTTAATTTTTTGGCTATGGCATTTTCATGGGCCATATCTGTATAGTTGAATCTAGGGTTTTTTACCAGCCAATCCCAATAATTGAATCTATTACCCATTAAGTCCTAAGTGTCTATCTCATGCACTAGGAAGTTCTGTTGTATTTTTTTATCCCAATTTTACCCCTGACGTTATGCTTTGCGCGTTTGGTTTGAATTATGTGGTTTTATTTAATTTTTTTTCCTCTCTCTCTTTCTCTCAAAGGATCTGGGTTTTGAAAAGGGAGGTAACGAAAGATTTGGGTATAGAGATCATAATCGGTGTGAGAAGGTATTTCATGCACTGTTGTGTTACAAGAGCCATTGATTGCACCACTATAATGTTGGGCGGAGATGAAGGGGTCACGACGTTGGCGGCGGTAAGGAAGTTTGTGTCGAAGACTTGGTAATTGAATGGTTGTTTGTTGGTGTTAGTGAACATGAGATCTGCCTTTGTGGCCCTTAGATTTGAGAGAGATGGTGTTAGATCTAAGAGAGATCAAGAAAATCGACATGAACGAAGATGAGTGTGTCAACATTGATGAGTTTGGAGCTCTGTACCAATTAATAATGAACGAGCGAGACGAAAAAGAAGACATGAGAAAGGCATTCAGGGTGTTAGATCAGAACGGCGATGGGTTCATCTAGGTATTTTTAATGCCAAATGGAGCTAGTACCTTGTTTAAACCAGTGATACATTTATTAGTAAATTTGTTGTATATGTTTGTTTTTGTATAAAACTTGATAAACTAAACAGTGATAAATTTATCATTTGTAATGGTAATTTTCCTTTTGTAATTTTTTTTATACAAACGGTTAGTGATAAATTTATCATTGAATCTGACATGGTCATTGCTACCATCTTCCTCCATAAATTTATCATTTGTAATGGTGATGATTAAATTTTCCTTCTACATTTTTTATTTTTTTTTGCAAACAGTTTGATAAATTTATCATTGAATATATCTCTGATTCTTGTGTTGGTTTGTAATGGTGATTGCTTGATTTTCCGTCTATAATTTTTTTACAAACAAATAGTGATAAATTTATACTGAACCTGATTTTTGATTCTTTGTCTTGATCTGTGAATGTGAAAAATAATGAAAACTATTTTCTGATAATGACTTCTCGCCTCTCTCCTTTATACTCTTCATCATTTTTCTTCTCATTTTCTTTTGTTGCCACTAGATCTGAGGAGGATGTGATGGTAATAGTAGTGATGTACTTCAAATGAAAAATGAATAAAAAAAAAATATTGTTGAAGGATAGTGGCAACAGTGGAGGTTGCCAGACATGATCATCAAAGGTCGCCAAAGGTTATTCCGGCGATTGGAAATGATTGACAATGGCTGGAAGGGGCAATGGTGGATCAAGGCAGTGACATGTGCACAAAGTAAAAAGCCAAATGTATGGGTTATCAGGAGTAAAATAGGAGGGCGGACTAAATTATTTTAAAACAGAATCTCTTAGATACCAAGTCTGATTCAAAGGACCGATCCATAACTCTCCTTGAATCTATAATAGGCCAAAGCTGTATAATTGAATCTTGGTAGTTGCTGGCTACAATTTCAATGGGATTGAGACCCCTCTGCCAGATATTTGGGAGGTGTAAAAGAAAAGGCGGTGAATAATCTTTTATTTTATTTTTATAATTATTTGAACTAAGGAAAGTAGATAAACCAAAGAAAACAAAGAATATCTTCTGCATAGTCATCTTCGGTCTATTCCACTTAGTATTTGGTAAATGATTGACAATGGCTGGAAGGGGCAATAGTGGATCATGGCAGTGACATGTGCACAAAGTAAAGAAGCCAAATGTATGGATTATCAGGAGTAAAATAGGAGGGCGGACTAAATTATTTTAGAATAGAATCTCTTAGATACCAAGTCTGATTCAAAGGACCGATCCATAACTCTCCTTGAATCTATAATAGGCCAAAGCTGTATGATTGAATCTTGGTAGTTGCTGGCTACAATTTCAATGGGATTGAGACCCCTCTGCCAGATATTTGGGAGGTGTAAAAGAAAAGGCGGTGAATAATCTTTTATTTTATTTTTATAATTATTTGAACTAAGGAAAGTAGATAAACCAAAGAAAACAAAGAATATCTTCTGCATAGTCATCTTCGGTCTATTCCACTTAGTATTTGGTACAATTAATTAGTCTTAGATCATGTTTAAGACATCTTACATACTTAATAATAGAGCATATGTGACCATTTTTAATATTATAAATAAAATCATGTGTCACTAAACGGACACACGGTTTTGTTATAACTATCAATTCACTTGATAAAATTTATTAATCAAGATATTTTTTTTTTTTTTTTTTTTTGGGGATGGGAGGGGGGGAGACAAGACAAGAAAAAACACGTTATAAAAAAAAATTAAAAAAAAACAACTTATTGCACAAGATTTTCATTATTGTGCGATTTAAAAAGAGTTAGATGTATATAATTTTAAGCCTGATCAATTGTTTATGTAAGGGTTTCAATTAGTACAATTTCTCGATTATCCAATATGAGCGAAATGGACTTTATGCTTACTTTTCTAAAAGAATATAATCTGCATTTGGAAGTTTAGAAAATGCCAAATTTGAAACAGATACTTACACTATGGATTGGGTTGGATTTTTTTATGAAAGCTCAGTATACAGACTAACCCACCACTTGGACAGAACTTGCTTAAAACCATTAAAACCCTTCGATTTTAATTTGATGGATTCAAGATTCCATCAAAAGTATTTACATAAACCAGGGTACTCATTAAATTAATAGGATAGGCTTCCCTCTAATCTACCTCGCTGGATCATGTGGGGCATATTATGAGTTCCATAAATTATTAATAGGTTCTAATAGTTATATTTAATTTTCATCAAGTCTTATTAAAAATAAGTTTTAGTAAAATCGTCGCTAAAAATAATTTTTTAAAATGATTTTTTGCATATGTCGCTAAAAGTTGACAATTAGTGAATTTTTTTATCACGATTTTTATAAATTGTCACTAAAACTTATAATTAGTGACATTTTCTGTGATGAATTTTTCAAACTATCTTTGAAAGTTAAACATTAGTGACATTTTTTGTGATGATTTTTTTAAACTATTGTTAAAATTTATAATTAACAACATTTTTTGTAATAATTTTTAAATTGTCGCTAAAATTAGCAATTAGTGACTTTTTTGAATAGTGTTTGATGAAAAATGTCATTAATTCTTACAGAACCTATTAGACAATAAGTCTACCTATTGGAACCTACATGAAAGTCCCCTTTATGAGTTCCACTCCAACGATTTGAATCATTCATTTCATTTAACTATATGCATTGATCATTATATATATAAAAAAAAAAAAATTAGGTTGATATGATAATTATAACTATATGTCTGGATGATATTTGTCTTCAAGACAATAATAATTTTAAAAATTGATCATTAAATTTCATTTTATTTTTGCAAACAAATCTAATAAAATCATAATCTATAAGTATATATTATTAATTTGATATTTTTATAAATGATCTAGGCACATAGTCGAACAAAATAAACAGTTCAACTTGTCTAGGTAATGAGTCCCACATAACCCAACAACACCTCCAATACACGGGAGAAAAGGCAATCCTTCAGCTAATAGTAATGGATATTTATAAAGTGGGGAGCGTGATGTGATTTTCTTCTTATTTTATCAGGATGGAAGTGTCCAAATTGTTTATAAAAAAGAAAAGAAAAATCATTCTTACTACAAATATCACTATCACATCATTCATGTTAAAGAAAATATCAATTTTTATAAAGTAATAGTTCAAGATTCAAATTAAAACTATAAAAATCAAAATAAAATTTATTAAAACTAAAAAGACCAATAATATAATTATGCTATTTCTAAAATTTGAAATTTGAAGACTATTGAAAGTGATGGTGTGGTACCTACCACTATAATTTTGTGAAAATGACTTTGACAACTAAATTAAGATATTGGTTCATTCAAAATGGAAGAACCAAGCTATAAGTTTCAATTTGTAAAGCATCTCCAACATTGAATATGACAAATTTATCATTGTAAAATTTTAACTATATCAAAGTATAAAAATACCAAAATTTAACCATCACGATGCAATGTTTTTATAATTTTTTTAGCAAAATCATCCTATATCATCTTTTCACTCTATAATGTTGTGTTTGGTTGAGAAATTTGAGGAGGAATTTAAAAAGGAAAATGAAAATAGTAGGTGAAATGTGAATAAAATATACTTACATCTCACCTAATTTTACACATCTTTTCCTTTTCTTTTTTCTAAATCTCTCTCCAAATCTCTCAACAAAACACAGCATAAAGGTATGTAAGTACTTATACTAACTTAAAAAAACAAAATTAAAACATCATTAACACTCCAAACCCGCTGTGCATACATAATAATTTTTACATCATTTTACATTTTCTATTCACATAAAAATCGCCCAGCATTACATGTAACGTAATATGATTTGATCATTATATATATAAAAAAAAAAAAATTAGGTTGATATGATAATTATAACTATATGTCTTAATGATATTTGTCTTCAAGACAATAATAATTTTAAAAATTGATCATTAAATTTCATTTTATTTTTGCAAACAAATCTAATAAAATCATAATCTATAAGTATATATTATTAATTTGATATTTTTATAAATGATCTAGGCACATAGTCGAACAAAATAAACAGTTCAACTTGTCTAGGTAATGAGTCCCACATAACCCAACAACACCTCCAATACACGGGAGAAAAGCCAATCCTTAAACTAATAGTAATGGATATTTATAGTAATGGATATTTATTAAGTGGGGAGCGTGATGTGATTTTCTTCTTATTTTATCAAGATGAAAGTGTCCAAATTGTTTATAAAAAAGAAAAGAAAAGAAAAATCATTCTTACTACAAATATCACTATCACATCATTCATGTTAAAGAAAATATCATTTTCCACAAAGTAATAGTTCAAGATTCAAATTAAAACTATAAAAATCAAAATAAAATTTATTAAAACTAAAAAGACCAATAATATAATTATGCTATTTCTAAAATTTGAAATTTGAAGACTATTGAAAGTGATGGTGTGGTACCTACCACTATAATTTTGTGAAAATGACTTTGACAACTAAATTAAGATATTGGTTCATTCAAAATGGAAGAACCAAGCTATAAGTTTCAATTTGTAAAGCATCTCCAACATTGAATATGACAAATTTATCATTGTAAAATTTTAACTATATCAAAGTATAAAAATACCAAAATTTAACCATCACGATGCAATGTTTTTATAATTTTTTTAGCAAAATCATCCTATATCATCTTTTCACTCTATAATGTTGTGTTTGGTTGAGAAATTTGAGGAGGAATTTAAAAAGGAAAATGAAAATAGTAGGTGAAATGTGAATAAAATATACTTACATCTCACCTAATTTTACACATCTTTTCCTTTTCTTTTTTCTAAATCTCTCTCCAAATCTCTCAACAAAACACAGCATAAAGGTATGTAAGTACTTATACTAACTTAAAAAAACAAAATTAAAACATCATTAACACTCCAAACCCGCTGTGCATACATAATAATTTTTACATCATTTTACATTTTCTATTCACATAAAAATCGCCCAGCATTACATGTAACGTATAAAATGATATAAAAAGAGTTGTGCCGATAATATTATTATTATTAATTAACACACATCCAATTGAACTTAAATTTATTCGGTGGAGGTCACTTTTTAGCCAACCTAGCAAAGACAAAATCAAGACTAACAGATGCAACCACTCAAAACTGGGAAACCACTTCTCCAGTTTTCTTCTATTTTTTCTTTTTTTGATACAGCCAATTTTCCTTTCCACTACCTAACAGTATACTACTATTTCCAATCCAACAACAAGACTTTCAACTCTATAAATAGGTACCCCATACATGCTTTTGCTTCTTATCAAATTTTCTTCACACCTAAGGCCCAGAAAATTTCACAGAAAAGAAAAGAAAAGAAAAGAAAAGTTTGTCTATCTGTGAGTATTATGGAAGTAGAGAAGATTATAATGGAGGAGGAGAGGAGGGTAATGGTAGCAGTAGATGAAAGTGAGGAGAGCATGTATGCCCTGTCATGGTGCCTCACCAACCTCCTTTCTCAGAACTCCAAAACCAACACCCTCGTCCTCCTCTACGTCAAACCCCCTGCTCCTGTTTCCTCCTCCTTAGATGCTCCAGGTTAATCTCCTGCACCCATTTTTATTTTCTGAGTTCTAATATGAATACAAAAACCGATCACAGAATAAAAAAAAAAGAATATACCATAAATGAACAAGAACGAATATAGAAACAGATCACACAACTGGACACAAAATATACAAGAATGAACAAGATTTCATATGGTTATTTTAGTGGGATTCATTTTTTCAAAAATCTTATTGGTTGTCCGCTCATATATATATATTGTGTCCGGTTTTGAGTGAAAAAAGCAGCAGTGTGGTGTTGGATTCAATTCAAATGGAGCCAGAGAGAAAGATTAACTAGTGTTTTTCTGTTACAGGATTCCTTTTCGCTGGTGATGTCGTTGCAAGCATGGAGCAATACGGCAAAGACTTGGCCAATTCAGTGATGAGCAGAGCTGAAGTGGTCTACAGAGACTGCAACAACCCCGTATGCCCCTCTCTCTCTCTTCAAATTGTGTTGTGTAGTGAATTCTCTCTCCAAATTGTTGATTCATAGAACTGTTGCAGGTGAAAGTGGAGAAGAAAATCGGAACTGGAGATGCTAAAGATGTGATATGTATAGCAGCAGAAAAACTCGACGCAGACATCCTGGTCATGGGGAGCCATGACTATGGTTTTTTCAAGAGGTGCTTGATAAAATTTCTCAGTGAATTCCAGAACTAATGTCACAGGATCTAATAGTTTACTAAAAGTTTGTTTCTTTGACATTTGCAGGGTGCTCTTAGGAAGTGTGAGCGATCACTGTGCGAAGCACGTCAAGTGTCCCGTCGTGGTCGTGAAGCGACCAAAGAATGTGTATTGAATTTGTGTGTTTCTTAGCCTATGTTTGTAGTATTAAGCAAATATCGAAAGAATCATGATTGGGTGTAGATAATTGAGTGAAATATGAGGTAATTTACTGTCAAGATCTCCTGAATTTTGCATATCATTGTTCTTTCGGATCACGAATTTTGAATTTGAAGGATTGAATAGTATAAAAAGAACACTACATAGGGTTAAGCATTGTAGACAATAAACATAAATAACAAATACAATACCTATGCAATACATTGCCAAGTAGTATTCACAAAGCATAAGTTCACATTATAGAATACAAATAATTAAACTGCAAAATTGAATAGGAATATGATGTAATCACTAACAAAGATTGAAAAGGGCCAAAAAGAAAATGGAGGTTGAAGTTGAGGAAATGAAAAAAGAAAAACCAAAACAAGGAGTGATGAACAAGACAAGATAAGATAAACTTTGATCTACCAATAATACAAAGTAGTTAGAGATTAGAATTATGTAATTTAAGGTTAATTAAAGTACACAAATAAACCAAAATCCAAAGATGAAGCTTGTCCTGCAACAAATTCTAATCATGCAACCGAAAAAAAAAAAAAAATCATTGTTGGAAATTAGAAATCTTGAATTGGCAATCATTGTTGCTTTCATAAACTATAAAAAAAAAAGTTAGTACATTATCATCTAAGTTAGTACATTATCATCTAATTGAGTCACAAAAATTAAGCTAATAAAAGGGCACGATAGTAAAACATGATTAAATCAAGGATAAATTACACCCTTGGTCCCTACATTTTGTCTTTTATGTTATTTTTGTCCCTCAATTTTCAATTGGCTCAATTTTGACCTTTAATTTTAAATTTTGTGTCATTTTAGTCCAATTGATAATACTGTTAGTGTTTTTTATGAAAAATAATCATTGAATTGGTTAAGTTTAACTTACTGAGTTTAGTAAATGGTTAAGTTTAACTTACTGAGTTTAGTAAATATATAATTTATATGACACATGCCACTTATAGGTATATTTTTCATAAAAAAAAAATCAGGAATTGTAATTAATTGGACCAAATTGAAATAAAATCATAAATTCAGAATTAAAATTGAACCAATTAAAATTATAGGGATTAAAATGACACAGCGACCAAATTAGAGGGACTACCGTTATTCACAAAAAAAAACAAAGAAGGAAGAAAAAGCTACTGTCACAATTTGCCCTTAAATCAATCAAAACTGTTTGTAATTCAACAAAAACATATCTCGATCTCCAAATTACTCCTCCTCGGTCGCAGATTCACCATTCTTCTTGTTATGCTTCCTAGCATACCTTTGGTTCCTCAGAAAGTTAGGGTCCATCTGTATCAAAATCAAACAAATAAATTTTTTATTAAAAAAATTCAAGATCAAAACTGTCACATATTTCAAATCAAATTGAGCTGCAAACAATGATATATAGAGAGAGAGAGAGAGAGAGAAAATGCGTAACCCTTTAGTGGAGGTATGCCTGTGTTTCTGGGCTTTTTGATACCCTTTTTGTGAGCCTTATGAGACTGGCTATGGGCAGTGTGATTCTTTGACTTTGCCAATTCTCTGAAAACTCAAAATTCAACAAATTAAATTCATTATTACTTCATTGTAAGAAAAATGAAGGATGGAAGAGTGAAGATAGAGAAACCAAAATAAGGAATCGAAGATTCTTAACAGAAACTGAAATTAGGGTTAGGGTTTTTGAAAAAAAAAATGTTTGGCACCCTACAATTTGACCGATACATGTCAATTTTTAATTAATTACACAACCTAATCCCCAAACCCCAAACTTCTTTCTGTGTTTTGATCCTTCAAATTTTGGAAGCTCAAATTTGCCTGTTTTTGTTGCTGGCCCTGCTCTTATCAGTCAACAAACATGAATTTCATTTATGCCGCGTTTGGTGAGGAAATTTAGGAAGAGATTTCGAAAGAAAAAAAAAAAAAAGTATAGAAAATTAAGTGAAATGTAAATAAATATATTTACATTTCACTTACTTTTTTTTCTTTTCTTTCTATATTCTTTTCCAAATCTTCTAACCAAATACAACGTTAAAGATTTAGCGTTTAGCCTTACCTTCCTTTTCACATAACTAGTTGGCCCTCCATGCGTTTCAAACATGGGGGTCGTGCTATAGTTTCAATATAAATATTTCTACAAATTATATTTGGTTTATGAATTTGAGAAGTGAATTATAGTTATATTTTGCGTCTAATTTGTCTATTTTTTCTTTTTCTCTTTGCCAATTTCTTCTCCAATTAATAAAAATATGAACATAACTATGTGTCATCTCAGATATCTTTACATTTGCAGTTAAAAAAAATTATTTTCGATAACCAAGTTGACCAAACTACAGAGAAGAGCAGCTCAAATGTGATCTACGTAATTATTTTCGATAATTCATCTATGTCATTTTTTTGAATAACATGGCAAGTGATAATAAATATTCAATTCGATCTTGTCCAAACGTTACATATAAACATATTAATGTTGATAGTTTGACAATAATATGCATACGGTATACATCTTATAACATAAATTTAACCAAAAAAAAATTGATAACATTATAGCATTATACATTATGCATTATAGTAGATATGTATAGCGGGGATTTGTTTACAAAAGATAAGAAGATGAAGAAATACTTTGCGTTAGTGTGATTATGTACAATGTGTATAGATACATCATTGCCTTTCTTGATGTACAATATTTTTAATTTTGCATGGTAAAGTCTTGTCATCATATTTGAAGTTTTTGTATTTTCCTTTGATGTGATTGCATAATGCATCTGCTGCAGAGTTGCCTTCTTTACGAATGAAAGTGATTTTACAATGTTTGAAATTTTGTCTTCTTCTTCTTTAGCTTGAATGTGCTCTAAGCTCAATTTAATGAACCTATTGAGCATGTCTTAATACACTTTGTATTCACATAAATTGAAGACAATGAATTCACCTTATTAACCTAACTTGCAGTTTCATGATTTCAACAATTGTACTTTGAATTTTAACTAATGTTCTCTCAATTTCTACATGGGAAACCTTTTTTTAGCCCCAAATTTTTAGATTTGGTTTAAGATTAGTCGGCATTTGTACAAACGAATGATGGAATTTGTTTGTTTCTACTGTCGTGTGTGTGGCTAAGTTGAAGGCTACGTAGGCAATCCAAATCTGCTTTGTAAACAAAGAAGCAACAGACTTACACCAGAAGCACCAGTATTACACCATCCGTTATACCACTTTTACCTTCTTTTTATATATGTTATAGATTATGAGTTGAGTGAAGTTGTGAGTTTAAGGTTGTTTGGAAAGATGGTTAAAAATTGATTTTTTGATTTTTTTTTTTTACAAAAAAATGTGTAAAAAATATAAGAAATGATATGACTTAAAATGGGTTTTGAAAACTGAAAAAAAAAGAGTGCAGGAATTTTCATTGTTATTTCTTAAAATGATCATTTATAATAATCTCAACCGACTTGGTACGCCCAAAGCCAGCCCGTTTTGGACTTTAAATTATGCCTCCACAATCATCAACCTGCTCCCAAATTGTTTGTCCGGTACATACTTAAAATAATATATTTTTATATTAATTTTTTTTGACACAAATTAAATGTACTTAATAAGAGCTTTCGATTGGTGGGGGAAAAAAATAGGAGGATATGTTATTTTTAATCTTTTGTTTTTCATGCCAAACAAATAATTTGAAACAGAGGAAATATTAAAATAGAAAAGACAAAAAGTTAGAAACTCTCAATTTAAATTTCACAATTCAAACATAATGATATGATACGGAAGTGGAACTAATAAAGACTCAAACGAGGCCAGACTAATTTATTGTTTAATAGAGAGTGTGTTAAATTATGTGCTCAACAAAATTGCCTCGGTCCAAGACCATTTTCATGGGTTTCGTATTTTATATCATATACGAAATTGTGAATAGTAATAATCCTCAATTGGCCGTCTGTGTTGTCACTTGTTGTACTGATTTAAGTTTAGTCATTATGGAATAAAAAAATGTTTGGACTCATAGGTGTAATTTAATAATTTGATCAAATTGTGTTGAACTGGCCCAAATTTGATCAAATTGTTGCATAATGAGGTGGTTTAGATTTAAGTAAGAGTGGCTGGAAGAAAATTTTATGAAGTTGAACTAATCAATTAATAAGAATGATCGAATTTTTAGTTTTTAATCAATTTTTCATAAATTATGATATTTTTGGTTTTGAAATTTTTTATAGCAATATCAACTTAACACTGAAATATTATATTTAAATTTTTTTTTTTTTTTATTCTAAATGAGTCAAAACATATTGTAGTAAAAATTTGGGAGACTGACAGTTATCCAAATTAAGAAAAAAAAAATCTCCTTTCTCTAGATTATTATTATTTTTTACATATATTTCCACAATAATCAAATAAATTATATTTCTAGTTTTTTTCATTTTATTTTATTTGTTTTATTTTTTTTTAGAATCATTAGGTGAGACATTTTGTAAGACAATCCTAATATAAATTGAGATTTATGAAATTAATATAAAATTGATTATCTAGTTGGATTAGTGAAATAAATAATCTCATTTTGTCTAGATTTACGTTGTAATAATAAATATAAAAATATATAATTTTAAATATATATATTTATTTTACATTATTAGTTGTAGTATTGAAAAAATAATAATGCTATAAATACTAACAATATTATTAAAACTCTAACTATAAGTATAAGACGTTAATTTAATTGATTATTAAGAACAATGATTGGCAGACATTTTTAATACATGTATTTGCTTTTAACATTTTTAAAAGATTGTAAATAATAAATAAACAAGAATAATATTCGAGTCCCAGTCCCAGTCCGAGTCCGAGTCAAAACAAACCAGTAAAATGTGCGGTTCTAACACGCCGATTACCAGAATTTACAAGGGAAAGTTAATCCGCGTTTTTGACAAAAAACAATAATGCTATAAATACTAACACTATTATTAAAACTCTTACTATAAGTGCAAGATGTTAATTTGATGAGTAATGCTAGGAACACCAAATTTTCTATCAAATAAATGACCAAATGTCGTGTGAGGTCCGCAATTTTGTGGGCCCCACACCCATGTGAGACATTTGGTCATTTATTTGGTAGAAAATTTGAGACCTCTAGCATTTTTCTAATTTGATTGATTATTAAAAACAATGATTGGTAGACATTTTTAATAGTACATGTATTTGCTCTTAACATTTTTAAAAGATTGTAAATAATAAATAAACAAGAATAATATTCGAGTCCGAGTCCCAGTCCGAGTCAAAACAAACCAGTAAAATGTGCGGTTCTAACACGCCGATTACCAGAATTTACAAGGGAAAGTTAATCCGCGTTTTTGACGCCATCTCAATAAACTTCCAAGTCCAACCAATACACACACACACAGAGACACTACTACTTGAACGCTTCTAAAGTGTCCGTATATATATACTCACACTAGCCACAACACAAACCCATCAACTTCCATATCCAATTCTGAACAATCCATCCCATACTCTCTTTCTACTCTCTCACAGATACAAGCAAAGCAACAATCATTATGGGAAACTTTACCTCCTGTTACAATGGGCAGCCCCGAACAGCGATTCTCATCGACTCTCATGGAAATCTCCGGCGAATCAAGGTCCCGATTACAGCCGCCGAGATCATGCTCGACGATCCCGGCCACGTCGTCTCGCCGGCGCAACAGATCCGCCGAAATTCCCGGATTCCGGCGATGAAAGCCGACGATGAACTGTCGGCGGGGAAGGTGTACTTGCTGGTTCCGGCGGGTAGGACCAACTGTAAGGTCTCGGAATCGGAGATGGCGCTCATTGACTCCGCCCCCGGAGGGAAGAGGCGGCTCAGGAGCCGGAGCTCCAAGGTCTTGCCGGCGGCATCGACCGAGGGGTCCGGTGGTGATGAGGTCGAGGTTGAGAATTCGCTTGCTGTTTTGCAAGGAAATGATACCGGCTTGGCCGGTCACCGGTTGGTGAGCCCCAGTCATTGGAGGTTTACTCCGGTTCTGGAGACTATTTCTGAGGGACTTTGAGAACCGAACCATCCAGAAATTGCCACGTAATGTGGGCCCCAAAAGACACTGACGTGGCAGGACTTGTGTAGTTGAAGATGACTACTCTGAGACTTTTTAGCCAACTAGGACTTTTTCCATAGGATTTGTAATGGTAATTAGTTTTGTCCATATATGATCACAGAAACATTCATTGAAACGTTAAATTGTAATCTATTTTGTAATTTTGTTCAACAAATATTGTTGAAAAATCTATTCTGAAAAAATTTGTAGAAAGTTTAATAATGATGATATTTTCAAATTTAAAAACCATTTTTTAATTAGTAATTTGTGTTTGAAATGATATCTCTAATTATTAGGTCATTAAAATTTGTTAATTCAATAATTTGCTCTTCTTCTCAACATGATCAAATAGGAATGATTTTCTGGTCAACCATCAATAATGCTACAAAAAAAATTAAAAAAAATTACAATATATATACATAGAATAGGGTATTGTTGTATTTATCGTGATGGAGTATATGCTCTATAAAAGATGAACTTTACAATGGCAATTGATCGAAATACACGTGAAGGTGTTTATCACGCGAGAATGTCGATTATCCGAAAGTTAGAAAAATGGTAAACTTCTAGGTCATATATATATCTCATTCCAAACCTGCTGTCACTATTTATATACAAATAGGTGGCCTTTGGAAATAGATATAATACAATGACAGTCACCATGATTCACAAAGTTGTGTCTATTGATGTTTGAATTCAAACCATTAACTAAATATTCTTGCGGAAAGGTTCTTTACAATGCAAGAGAGAGAAGATTGAGTGAAGTGAGTCACACCAAATTATGGTGTGGTCACTCTTTATTCCATCACTCCATTGATTGACTATTGTGATCTTTATTATTGCATATTTGCAATAGAAATGTTTTATTATATCATTTAATGGTGAGTGTAATAATTTTTTTTATTTAAAATAATTTTAAATTTATATTATTATCTTTATAGAATGGAAATGATCAAAGTTTACGAAAGAGAAACATCTCTAGAATTGGTTAATAGATAGATTCAACAATTTTATTTATTTATTTTTTTTTTTTGTGCGCGCGCTAATCAATAGGAGATTAATCAGATATAACAATAATTATATAAAATTATTTCATTTCAAAAGGCGCCTTTGAATTGGCAATAATTAGTGTTTCATCCGTACTATGCACGAGTTGTATTTATAATTATTTATATATATGTGAATTGTGATTTTCAGATATCTTTTTTTTACAGAAAAAAAAGAATATAACAAATGGAGCATATCTTCAATCAATTATTTTATGTTTGCTTTTATTCAAAATTTAAAAATAATATACGGACAAAATTTATAACTAAATTAAGAAAAAATTTATTGATAACAACATTTTTTTACATCTATATAAATACATAAAAAAATAAACTTGAAAAAGGTAGTCAATATAATATTATACATTAAGTAAAAAAATGTAATTAGCAATTATGCTTACATAAATTTACTATAGTTTTAATTTTAAATTAAAAAAAAAAACATTCCTAATTTATAAACTTATACTCCATTAAGTCCTAATTAAGATTTTTGGACCTTCAAGTTCTATTAAATTTTTAATAGTTGGGATTACTTTTCAAACAATGATTGTTTATTATTTATGATTATCTATAAAAGAACATGAGGATTTGACATTTATTTTGTTTTTTAAAACTTTAAAACTTCAATTTTCAAATTGAAAAATCTAAAAAAAAAATTATGTACAAATTTTTTTTAATTTTTTTTTTAAATTAAAAGAACTAAATTATTTTTTTTATGCACACCTGAAGATTTTGTGTCTATAAAAGAGCATGATGATAGAACATTGACATAGAAAACTAGAAGGAAAAAAAAAAGAAAGAAAAAGAAAAAACTTTAAAAATGAAAAAAGTATTAATATTCTCGATTTTATTAGCTAGTTGAATCAAATCAATAAATAGAAGGGCAAAAACGTTTAATCTCATACTCTGTTTTTTTTTTCATCAGTTAGTGAAACGATTATCTAACATATTACTATACAAAATTGATAATCTTCTTAGTTTTAAAAATTGGGAAAAAGTGATAATACTTTCAGCTTTACTAAATAGGACTTATTGGTTTAAAAAAATTTAAATAGAACTTGAGTTACCATAACATTTGTAAATAGGATTCTTAAGTAATTAACTAAAAAAAAAAAAAACTATTTTAAAAGCATTTTATTTAGTTAATACCAAATAGAATTTTCTTAGCAAAAAGGAAAGTTATAAAATTTTGTTGAAAATTTTCAAATGTCTATTGTTAAATATTGTAATCTACTTATTTGTTTACTTGTTTGCTTTGGGAGTTTTAATATTTTATCTTTGTTCCACATTGATCGTATCTTTTATTTATTTATTTTCTTCTTACTTGATTTTCGCATGATACTTCTTTCATAGTACATCTCTGAATGTATTAGTGAAAACATCATACACTTAAAATACACAAAATTACAATATATAAAAAAAAGTAAGTAATTGTCCAAAACTAAAACTACTTTAAGAAAAAATAAAAAATAAAAACAAAAATGAAATTGTTTGAAATATAAAATGATTTATTTATTTATTAATTTTTAAAAATAAACTTTTAAAGAAAATAAAGAAATCTATATAATAAAAAAATACAAAAATCAAACATAAAATATAACACAAAAAATAAATGAATTATAGGATTTTTAAGAAGTCTTACTTGAATTTTGCATGATACTTCTTTCATAGTGCATTTCCATGTGTATTACTGAAAACATCATCCACTTAAAATGCACAAAATTACAATATAAATAAAAATAAAAATAAAAAAGTAAGTAATTGCCCAAAACTAAAACTACTTTAAAAAAAATAAAAACAAAAATGAAATTGTTTGAAATATAAAATGATTTATTTATTTATTTTTAAAAATAAACTTTTAAAGAAAACAAACCAAACTATATTTTAAAAAAACAGAGTACAGAAACCAAATATAAAATATAATATAAAAAATAAATGAATTATAAGATTTTTAAGAAGTGAGACTTACAAACGAATTTTATAAATCTTGTCTATTCATATATTTTTTATGTATGTTTTTTTTGTATTTCTAATCCCGAGAATGACGTTGAAATAGTCTGTATTTCTTGCATTAGGTCCACCTAATAATTTTAGCAAACACAGATGTAATAAATTTTATAACACAAAATACAAACAATTGTGAGACAAAGTATCAAAAAAAAAAATAAAAGCAACGTTTAATGATGATGTAAAAGCACATTAGACGTTTTAATTGGAGGTATAACCAAATAAATTGCCATAGAAAAGGAAAATAACCTTTAATTGGAGTTATTTAGTTTCATCTATATTCACAGTGTAATTTTTTTCTCTCTCTTTTTTTTGCAATTGCAACCTGTTATTTTTTAATAAGAATTTATATTTGTTTTAGACATTTTTTTAATATACAAATTATTGTTTTTAGATTTTTTATAAAAATAATTTATCGATTCCATCACTAACTAATCATAGGTCATGTTTGATTCACAAAACTAATAGTGAAGTATTAATAATCCTATTAAATTAGTGTAGTATTCACTATCCAATTGGATTAATATCTATTGGATTAATAATCTCACCCCTATCCCATTACTAATAATCTTACAAATTTGTTGGATTAATTATCCATTGGATTAATTATCCTAAACCAAAATGTTAAAACAAACATGGGATAATTGGGCCCACGGATTAATAATCCCAATCTCATACTCTAATCCACCCAATCAAACATGCTAGTGTATAAGAGAAGTTGAAAGAGTGCTATAGTAAGTAAAAAAAGCTTGTGGGTTGGGAATTTATATTTGTTTTAAATATTTTTTTAATATACAAATTATTGTTTTTAGATTTTTTATAAAAATAATTTAACAATCTCATCACTAATCATAGTATATAGGAGAAGTTGAAAAGAGTGTTACAGTAAGTATACAAGAAGTCAAAAAGACTTGTGGATTGAGAAAAATCAATTAATGCTGAGCTTTTTTTTTTAAAAAAAATCAAAAAATTAAAAAAATAAAATTAGAATATTGGATCTCCCATAAGCAATTCACATATATAGATAATTGTAAACACAATCCGTGCATAGCACGGGTGATATGTTAGTACTATATATTAAGCAAAAGGGGGTTTTTAAATCCCAAGGCATGTGGGAGCTTCAATATCCCAATCTAAATTTTCTAAATTTTTTATTTAAAAAAAAACTCTAAATTTTCTAAATTTTTTATTTAAAAAAAAACTCAACATTTATTGATTTGGTTAAAATTCTCTGATCAGCATTTATTAACTTTTTTCAATCCACATGTCTTTCCACATGCTTGCATTTATTGATTTGGTCAAAATTCTCTAATCAGCATTTAAAATCTCCTCATACAAATAATTATAGATATAACTCGTATATAGTTACTGCAGTATCATTTTCAACTTCTCCCATACACTATGGTTAGTGATAAGATTGTTAAATTATTTTTATAAAAAATCTTAAAAAACATAATTTATATATTAAAAAAAATCTAACACAAATATAAATACCTATAATTATCTCGTGCATAGCACGGGTGATAGGCTAGTATCTATACTATATATTAAGCAAAAGGCGATTTTTAATCCCAAGACCTGTGGGAGCTTCAATATCCCAATATGAATTTTCTAAATTTTTTATTTAAAAAAAAATTCAGTATTTATTAATTTGGTCAAAATCCCCTAATCAGCATTTATTAACTTTTTTCAATCCACATGTCTTTCCACATGCCTACATTTATTGATTTGGTCAAAATCCCTGATCAGCTTTTAAGATCCCCTTATACAAATAATTATAGATACAATCTGTGTATAGTTACTGCAGTATCCTTTTCAACTTCTCTCACACATTATGGTTAGTGATAAAATTGTTAAATTATTTTTATAAAAAATCTTTAAAAACATAATTTATATATTAAAAAA